CATGACTTTGCTTGAGAAGATTTATACAGATTTTTCCTATATATTTGTAGGTAATACTTTCATCCTCTACTGTGTCCCCACCCTACCCCCAGGCATCATGCTTTGAAAAACTTGAATCTAAAAAAGTTGTTGTGGGTGCTTTATTGTCAATATGACTAATCATGCCTTTGCTGTTCTTAATACAAAATAAGATTTTCCCTATGTATTCCCATGTAAAACTCTGATTGCCCGCACTTGCCCCACCATACCCCCAGGGACATGAATTGTATAAAACTTAATTTATTCTATGTCAGGAAGCTTTTACTTGGGTTTCGTATTTTCAAGCCTAGTGGTTCTTAAGAACATTTGAACGATCATATCAAATTTTTACTGTTTCTTAATTATCTCTGCTGGGAAGAGATGTGGTCCTTCGTCAGAATGAATTTCCTTTACCAAAGCATGCTTTGTACGAAGTTTGTTTGAAATTGACACAGTGGTTCTAGAAAAGAAGGTGAAAATGTGAAAAATTATGAAGGAGATGGACAAATGCACAAATTTTGATCAGAAAGAGCTCACTTGAGCCTCCAGCTGATATGAGTTAATGCTAAATAAAGATGTTAGTGTGAAATAATTAATTCAGGAGGTAATTGAATTAGATCCCTCTTCCTTAAAACTTTGATCATTTTTTGTGGTCCCATCCTACCCCAGGAGATCATGAATTGAACAAACTTCAATCTACACTACCTGAGGATGCTTCCCCCACTTCTGCCCCACTCTACACCCCGTGGTCATGATTTGAGCAAACTTCAACCTACACAACCTGAGGATAATTCAATATAAATATGACTGATCATTAGTTTGCTGTTCTTGAGAAGATTTTTAAAGATATTTCCTATATATTTCTATTTATAAATTTGATCCCCTGTTGTGGCCCCATGGCTAAGCTGTGCTTAAGATGAATATTCTTTAATGAGTTTTCCTATATATACCTATGTAAAAATTGTTCCCCTGTTGTGACCCCGCCCTGAAAAAAATAAGGCAGAACATTCAAGAACTTAATGAAAATTGTGGACTTCCTGATACCACATCAGAGCGGAAGGACATGCCAGATATAATAATGCCACCTTCAGTGCCATTGGAAAAACCCCATTCCAAGCTGCCACCAATGTGACTTATACCACAAGTGAAAATGTTACTCAGAGGAAAAATGTTGTGGCAATGTTGTGTGGGAATAAACTATGCAAGAAAGGCAGACACCTGAGAAGCAAAGGAAAGGAAGTTATCTGCCTAAGACACGAAGACTGCACTGCAACCATTCCTCCAGAGGCCACCACTGAAGATGAGAAGAGATGGGCCGCAAAATGGTGAGTTACAAAGTGATGACCGTCCACTAGTCATTTCCCATTTCACCAGTGATGGAGATGGAGCAGCTGCATCTGGTGAATCTGAAAAACAAGGACATGTCATTGAAAACCTTAAAGACTTGCATCATTTCTTTGACTCTCAAAGACAACAGAAGAAATCCAAAACTGCGAAAAATCCAAAACTGTTAAAATGCATGTACAGTATATACATGTATCACAAAGAAAATACTGTAGATCTAAAAGATATCAGCTCTACAATAAAACATAGGTAATCAAAGATTACATAACTCAACTCAATGAATGTTTGTGTAAGGCAAAGTCCCACACTAAACAAATAACCTAGTAGTGTGCATCCCTAGATGCAACATTTATGCAATTTTGTTCTGATAGGGCTTTACAGTTACTTGGGAATGGACTAACCTAAGAACTTTTAACTTGCCAATTATCCAGAAATCCAGCATCTGAAGAAAGTTTGAGAATGTTCATCCCTTGATGCATCATCCTTGCAAGTTCGGTTCAGAAAGGCCTTATAGATTCTTGGTAATGGACCTGAACCAAAAACTTTAACCTGGTCACTCATCTGGAATATGTAGATCAAATCAAGCATCTGAAGCAAGTCCAGTAGTGTGCATCCTTAGATGTATCATCCATGCAAGTCGGGTCAAGGTACAGCAAATAGTTACTTTAGAATGATCCTGCTCCAAAAACATTAACCTGGTCACCCATCTGGAAAACGTAGGTCAGATCCAGTATCCGAAGCTAGCCTGGTAGTGTGCATCCTTAGATGTATCATCCATGCAAGTCTGGTCAACATGGGTCTATAGTTACTTTAGAATGAACCTGTTCTATAAACTTTAACCTGGTCACTCATCTGGAAAATGTAGGTCAGATCCAGCATCTAAAGAAGGGTGGTAGTTAGCATCCTTAGATGTATCATCCATGCAAGTTTGGTCACGATAGGGCTTATAGTTACTTGGAAATGAGACCTGCCCCAAAAACTTTAACCTGCTCCAAAATCTTCAACCTGCTTTAAAAACATTAACCTGGTCATCTTTTAGCTGAAATTGCAGCATCTGAAACCTTGACTGGTACAAAGAAACACACATAAACATCTTCCATGCAACTCTGATTTATGTAAGGCATAAAAGTGCTGAAAAAGAAAACTGCTGCAAAAACTATAACCTGGGACGCCGGAGGTATCACATAAGCTCCCCCCAACTTCTTTGAGGTGAGCTAAAAATCTAAAGACACTTACAGTAAATCAGTAACAGATTCAAAATTAAAAAGGAAGTTTAAGTGTGAAAAGGGAGGGGGGGGAGGGAGGGGAGTGGGGGGCATTGATGCTGTGTATTTAATTTAAATGTATGAATTTTGTAATTAATAAATAATTTGTAAATTTATAGACTATATAATAATTGTTGTTATGTTTTATTATGCACTGATTCTATTCAACTGTGTAAATGGGGAAAATGTGGAAATGTAAATGATGTATAATTGTATGAGTAAAATTTGACATTTTCTTATATGAGGGAGTCCATGCATGTGAAAATGTTTTAATTTTATCTTATTAAAATTATTTTAATTAATTATCTTGTTTTTCTTACCTATCTGATGATCACAACAAAGGTTACAGAGGTGATTGGTAGAAATACGGGTGTCAAAACTCTCTGTTGATGACCAGACAGCATACTGCATTGTATATCCGCCATTATTGATCTTAAACATGGGAGACAACTCCTGAAATCAGAGAAATTGCAGTCAAAATGAGAGTTACCTGTTACTCTTTAGGTCCGACACAATGAAATAATTTCACTACATGTTACTATATAGCTTCAATTAAATTAATTAATTAAGACTCTAAGCAGATAATCAATGAAAGAGAAAATAAAGATTAATGCTTAAACAAACAAGAGGCCCAAGGGCCTTAACGGTCACCTGAGTACAATACAACCATTTAGAGGATCCATAAACTGATAATGAAGCTCTGTTGCCCAAAAGCAAGAATGTAGTATGATTTGCATCAACAAAATAATTGGTCTAGTATCTATCTGTCCCCCATTTATCACTATTATCATGCAGAATATTAACAAACTGTCTATTTTTTAACCCCATATTATTACTTCTCACATTGGCCTCTCTTGGCCTTTGAAGAACAATTAAAAAGGATAAGTTATTTTTGTCTCAATTTTATTCATCTATTATTTCCAAGTCTACCTGGGGCCATGAATTTCACAATTTTGGAAGAGGCATTCTTCCTTATAACCATGCACTTCCTTTGTTTGAAAAATACCCAGGAGCAGAGAAGAAAATTTTGAAAAAAATTATGCATTTTCCCTATATAATCAATAGAGCCCCACCCTTACACTAGAACCCCTGATCCAGGGGCCATGAAATTCACAATTTTGGAAAAGGCAACCATGCTTGTCATAACTATGCACTAAGTTAGTTTATTTAAAATCCAAGAGCAGAGAAGATTTTCAAAGAACTAATGCAATTTTACTATATAATTAATAGAGCCCCGCCCTAACACCAGAACCCCCAAACCTGGGGCCATGAAATTCATAATTTCTAAAAAGGCAGCCATGTTCACCATAACTATGTTCTTAAATACTTTATTTAATACCCAGGAGCAGAGAAGAAGATTTTCAAAGAATTAATGCATTTTCACTATATAATCAATAGAGCCCCGCCCTAACACCAGAACCACTGACCCTGGGGCCATGAAATTCAAAATTTTGGAAGAGGCACTCTTGCTCATCATAACTATGTACTTAGTTTCTTTATTTAATACCCAGGAGCAGAGAAGAAGATTTTCAAAGAATTAATGCATTTTCACTATAATACAATCAATAGAGCCCCACCCTAACACCAGAACCCCTGACCCTTGGAACATGAAATTCACAATTTTGGAAGTGGCACTCTTGCTCATCATAACTATGTACTTATTTAGTTTATTTTATATCAAGGAGCAGAGAAGAAGATTTTCAAAGAATTAATGCATTTTCACTATATAATCAATAGAGCCCCAACCAGAACCCCTGACCCTTGGGCCATGAAATTCACAATTTTGGAAGAGGCACTCTTCCTCATCATAACTATGTACTTAGTTGGTTTATTTAATATCCAGGAGCAGAGGAGAAGATTTTCAATGAAATAATGCACTTTCACTAGATGATCTATAAAGCCCCACCCTAGCACCAGAACCCCGGACCCTGGGGCCATGAATTTCACAATTTTGGTAGAGGGCTCAATGCTTATTACAATCATGCTAACAGTTTGACTGCTTGATGTCCAGGAATAAAGAAGAAGATTTTTAAAGATTGCATTAATTTTGGTGGTTTTAGCCCCACCCCTTAGGCCCCAGGGGGCAGGGACCATGAAATTCAAAATTTTTGTTCCCCTTCACCCATAGAATGCCATATGCCAAATTTGGTTGAAATTGGTAGAGCGGTTTCAGAGAAGAAGCTAAAAATGTTCGAATGTTAACACACATCGCACGACGACAAACAAAAACGGATAGCTATAGGTCACCTGAGTGACTCAGGTGACTTAAAAATTGAGACCAGAAAAAATACACCCTGACAGTAATTAACAGTAAACATATCTACCCTGAAATACGTGTGGGCTTCACATGTTAACAAACATACTACACACCATCCAGGATGTTGCACCATGCACCCCTAAAAAAAAAGTTCCCTTTAATTAAGTGGGACAATTCTGCTAAAGATATGATATTCTTAGCTCATGAGTCCAAAATTAATACTGTAGGCCTAAAATAAGATGCCAAAAATGAAAAAATAAAAATAAATTGTCTCTCGTTATATATACAACTATAACTGACTAAGTTCATTTTGATTGGCTGTTTCCTTTGAACATACTCGCGCCTTGTAATGAAATCTGTATTCATTTCTGAAAATATAAGTGCATAACATCAAAATCACTTTTCCTAAAGTTCTCCTCAGAAGAATATTATCTATGAGTGAAGGCAATGTTTATCATAAATTGAATGTTCTAGTAGTGTGCACATCTACATGCCTTACCATACAAGTTTGGTCTAGTTAGGAATTATAGTTTCTTGGGAATGTCCAAAAAATTTGATCAGTTATAATCATCCTGAAAATAAATGTCTTATCATCCAGTTAAGTCAGAAGCATCATCCATGCAACTTTTTGTACAGGTAGAGCTTATAATTACTTGAAACTTTGGTACTTTGTAAAAGTTTTATGGGCAAGTTCATTCCCAAGTAACTATAAGCTCTACGCTTAAAGTTACTTGGGAATGAACTTGCCCATAAAACTTTTACTGGGATGTCAACACACTTACAAAGCAAAAGCTCATCTCGACTTTGTTGTGGTGAGCAAAAAATATTCCGTTTACTGCCTTTTGAACATTTGTTGTCACATTGTAGAATTGGTAGTGTTTTCTTTAAATATGATTAATTATTATGCTGAGGAGTGTCCCAGAAATGTAAAACAATTGTATTCTCTGGGAGAAAAAGTGATTCTATCACACCATCTAAGTTTGTTGGTATGCCAGTCTAACCTACCAAATGAACCACTTGTAGAAATCTTTATGGATGAGGAATTAGTGTCTTATAGTCATCCTGCCTCCCAATGATGGCATCATCAGAATCTGTCTCCATTCACTGTAATTATGACAAACTATTGCATAATCTTAAGTTGAAAGGAAAGCAAACGATATTTATATGAAATAACAAGATGTGTTTGTGAAACATTGTTGTCCCCTATGGCAGTTCAAGACAAAGGTTTGGATTTTTCAAATTTAGGTCGAGGTCTACAAGGTTAAAGTGAAGAGTTCAAAAAGTGTTTGTATTCAAAGAAAGGTCTTGTCACAACAAATACCATCTTCTCTAGTCAAAGGTTTCTGATCTGCTACTCTCCTCACAAACCCTTGGCATATGGTGCTGTCAAAAGATGGGAAGTACAGTCTAAGCAAAAAGTCTGAATCAGATCTGTTCATCAATTTTTAAAATCTCTTATACAGATAAAATGCAGGAATGTTTTTGAACTCAGTCAAATTAGTTTATCAGCTAAAAGACATGTTCAGGACATACATGTATATCAAAACATACAAACAAAGTGATTACAGTCTTTTGTCCCTTTTAAGTCTATTTGCTTTAAGGGGAGGGGATGGGTGAGTACTGAATAGCATCTTTTGATTTTATCAAATGACAACTATGTTAACCTACCTTTTCTCATCTTTGCTCCAGCCTTTTCTTTCTACTTGTTTTACCTGGAAAAATGCACAAAATTTTCATTTTAGGTGTTGTACTACATTTTAACATCTTAGAATTTTATGAAATGGGATTTTTTTCACAGTTTTCATCAAAAGAGCAGATCTGAAAAAAAATAATGACCTTCTTAAGAGATATATGAACATGTATATGCCTATTATGAAAGCATTTCCATATTCTAAGAAAATAAACCACCAAATACATGTACTTGTTTTTAACGAAAAAATACTGTATAAGTGGAAATCTTAGCGAGATGCCAATTTAGCAATTTACCCCCAAATTTTTAGCAAGAAGTAATTTAAGTGATTTTGTAATATCAAGAGAGAAAGCTATAACAGCCAAAATAGAATAAATTGTTAGCAATATTCAATTTTAGCAATCTCAGTTCCCTCGCTAAAAATGCCAAAATTGAATCCTCCCTAAAAATTCTGCTTCTATGGTAATTTGAATTCTCAGAAATTATACTCATTTACAGAATTGCAAATGATTTCTTGCACTGACAAAGAATTTAAAATAAGTATAGACGATTATAAAATACAATAAAAATCTTTGAGTATATCTGGTGCAGTTTTTTCGGGTTATCAAACACATTTTTAAAATTGTTCTTTCATTTGCAAAAATTCCAGTGAAGTAAAATATGAAACTAGGAACATTACTTCATCAACCAAACAATAATAAAAACAAAGGGGGAGTTTCGATAAGGCGGTTTTTCGGCCCCTCACGAAATTTTCTGAAATTTTTGATATTTTGTAGAAAAACTCCTTATCGTCCAAAAAAATATGAAAATAATTTATGTGACGCATTTTCCGATCACGTGATAATTGAAAATTTAAGTATACCCCCTTTCGTATATTTTTGGAGTAGACATTTTTATAGGGGGAAAGTGGATTTTTTAAATCGTCAAAATAATAAATGAAATAGGGTAAATATGAATAAAGACATAATTTAACCAATTTCAACAATTTTTTTTTTACGGAAAATGGTATTTACCTTACGCAATTTTTTTTTTAAGGTGCGATATTTTTCTGGTGTTAAATGTTACTTTTCTTTAAAAGAGGATGAATTGATCTTATAAAACGTAAACATATATAGAAAGTTTTAACATCATAATTAATCAACAGTTTATATGTAAACTTTACAATCAATATTTAACATTTTCCCATACGAAAAATGCAAATGAAAAGATATATGGACATGAGATAGGTAAAAGTAAAAACGTCATATACAGGGATATGCAATACATTTTCATCAATGAGATTATACAACTACATATTTTATAAAAATATACCTTAATATCATAAAATTGAAATTAAATAAAATGTTTTAAAGTAAAAAGATTAAAAAATAAATGCAACTTTATATACATACATGAATAAGAAGTTTATTTAAAAGAATCATATTGCTACGTAAGCCGGTACGTTGTAGGTGCAAGGTAAGAAAAATATTTTATCTGGCTGCCACCACATAATTATTTGGCGGCCACTAGAAAAATATATCTGCCAAACAGTTTTCCTGCGGCCAAAATATAAATAACTGGCAGCGACCAGAAACTTATTTGGCGGCCGCCACATAAATAACTAGAAGCAGGCAAGTAAGTTTCTTGCGGTGTAGACATGTAATCTTGCTAATAAGGCATGAAACTCCCAGATTTGAATACAAACAGAAGTTGTAGATGTCGTTAAAGGCAGAGATTTTAAGCACCGCCTTTAAAAATACCTGGTCTGTGTACCTCTGTCAATCAAGTGCATTAAGGTACATCATTGGGTGCTACAACTTGATTGGCAAACCACTAAATTTTTTCTGGCAGCTGCCAGATAATTCAATGGAAGGCCAGATAATATATTTTTTTTTTACCTAGCACCTACTGGCTTCAGTATATTGCAATGTATATGATAATATGAATAATATTAATTACAATCAAAAATATTTTATCATGATACGTAATATGTGAATAGCCAAATGATGGAAAAATCTATAATACATTGAGTGTTTCCTTTTCATTATGAAACTTAGAAGTATTTGCCTGCATTATGTTTTCAGCATAACTGAGAGAATCCCAGCCAGGACTAATTTCCTATCGCTTCCCCGCTCTCCATAGATACTTAAGTTGCTTCACCAACTCTAGTCACTCCTCATTTACAGAGTTTTAGAATTCATTATAAATGATTTGCTAGACCAAAGCGCAGTTCGAAATACACGTGTAAATGCCAAAGATATGTGTTTAATCCTTAATCAGGCAGACATATGCGCCTAGACATCCAGACTTAAAACAATCCACGTTCCCTATATGTCAATCACACAGAAATATATGGGCACTTCTCTAGCATGTTGGAGCGTGAATTTCTATATAAGAAAGTCAAAAATATTTGTATTTTTGACTTTCTTGTAACTATGCATGATAAATAACGTTAAGGAATGGACTTGCTCTAAAACCATTTTGTTCAGTCAGTCAGAAAATGTAAGAAAGTTCCAGCATCTGAACCATGTCTGGTAGTGTGCAATCCTAGATGCATCATCAGTGCAAGTTTGGTTACGATAGGGCTTATAGTCACATAAGAATGAGACACACTTCAAAATCTTTAACCTGCTCTATCATTAAGGAAATGTAGGTCATATCCAGCATCTAAAGCAATCTAATAGTGTGCATCTGTAGATGCATCATGAAGCAAGTCTGATCAACAAGTGCTTACAGCTGCTCTGCTCCAAAAACTTAAACCTGCTTTTAAAACATTTACCTGGACATTCTTTGGCTAAAATCCAGCATTTGAAACCTTAATGGTGACAAGGAAACATGCTTGATCAGGTGACTGTGATTAATATAGGGCATAGATATACTTGAAAAAAAATCTGCTTCAAAAACTTTTACCTGGAACACCAATGCTGATAGTATTACAAAAGCTCCCCCAACTTCGAGGAGGTGAGCTAAAAATGTGACGTTAACGTTATATGTTGGCGACAAAAATAGTATCAAAATGAAGACAGGATACGATAATGTTTTCTACTGTTAATACATGTATAATCGAGAATCTTCTTTAATTCAACAAAATATGCTACTTTTGGCTTAGTATTTTAACACAGAGTCAGATCAAGAAACCAGGAGTTTCTACTTTTAGATATGCATGTTATGCAATTTTCAATTTTTGGATATGAAGTGCACACGCGACACTCATCATATTTCAAGAAATTAGTGTGCAGAGTATATCTAATTACTGAACAAATTTAGGTGAGTGTCCCTCATGCACTTCATATTCTAAACATCGATTTATAAATGCCACCCTCTTATATTTTCCCATAAGCCTAATGTTAACGAATCTGAGTGTACATCTAAGTATGTATCAGCTACGGTGTTAATTCTTCTCATATTAACTTTTAAAATATAAACAACAAAAGTTAACATATTTATCTTGAATTCTAAACTAGTTTTGAAAAAATAAATTGAAATTTATTTTTAAGAAAAAGTGGGCTGCTGAGCGGCCTTATCGAAACTCCCCCTTTAACATCAAAATTTCAAACTCAGAATGTCTGGATCTAAACTGACTTGTTTTGTTCCAGCTTGACTGGGTTAGGTTCTTAACTGACTGTTTTATGATTCAGCCTGACTGGCTTGGTTTCTTAACTGAATTGTTCATGTTCCTGCCTGACCGGCTTAAGTTCTAAACTGATTTGTTCATATTACTGCCTGACTGGGTTATGTTTCTGGGTTAGGTTCTGAGCTGAATATTTTATATTCCTGCCTGACTGGGTTAGGTTTCTACCTGACTGGGTTAGGTTTTGAACTAACTTGTTCATGTTCCTGCCTGACAGGGTTAGGTCTCTACCTGACTAGGTTAGGTTCTGAACTCACAGTTTTATGTTCCTGTCTGACTGGATTAGGTTTCTTCCTGACTGGGTTAGATTTTAAGCTTACTGTTTTACAATTCTACCTGACTTTGTTAAGTTCTTAACTGACTTATGTTCCTGCCTATCTGGGTTAGGTTCTAAACTGACTGTTTTATGATTGAGTCTGACTGGCTTAGGTTCTTAACTGACTTGTTCATATTCCTGCCCAACTGGGTTAAGTTCTAAACTGACTTGTTCATATTACTGCCCGACTAGGTTATCTTTCTACCTGACTGGTTAAGTTCTGAACTGACTGTTTTATGTTTCTGACTGGGTTATGTTTCTGCCTGACTGGGATAGGTTTCTACCTGACAGGGTTAGGTTCTACACTGACTGTTTTATGATTCTGCCTGACTGGATAAGGTTTTAAACTGACGGTTTTATGATCCTGCCGCACTGAGTAAGGTTCTAAACTGACTGTTTCATGACTCTGCTTGACTGCATTAGGTTCTTATCTGACTTCTTCATGTTTCTGCCTGACTGGGTTAGGTTTTTTCTTGACTGGGATAGGTTATAAACTGACTGTTTTATGTTTTTACCTGACTGGGTTACATTCTAAAATGACTGTTTCATGATTCTGCCTGACTGGGTTATGTTCTGAACCGACTTGTTCATGTTCCTGCCTGACTGGGTTAGGTTTCTACTTGAATGGGTTAGGTTTTAAAGTGACTGCTTCATGATTTTGCCTGACTGGGTTGGGTTCTAAACTGACTTGTTCATCTTCCTGCTTGACTTGGTTATGTTTCTACCTGACAAGGTTAGGTTCTAAACTGACTGTTTTATGACTCTGCCTGACTGGGTTAGGTTCTAAACTGACTGTTTTATGATCCTGCCACACTGAATAAGGTTCTGAACCGACTGTTTCATGATTCTGCCTAACTGGGTTAGTTTTAAACTGACATGTTCATGTTCTTGCCTGAGTGGGATAGGCTTCCACCTGACTGGGTTAAGTTTCTGCCTGAATGGGTTAGGTTCTAAACTGACAGTTTTATGTTCCTGTTTGACTGGGTTAGGTTTTAAGCTTACTGTTTTACAATTCTACCTCACTGGGTTAGGTTCTTACCTAACTACTACCTAGTCCTTGTTGCACCCGGAGGCACATAGGGCAAGGATTAGGGATTAGGGGTTAGGTTCTTAACTGACTTATGTTCCTGCCTGACTAGGTTAGGTTCTAAACTGACTGTTTTATGATTGAGCCTGACTGGGTTAGGTTTTTAACCGACTTGTTTATGTTCCTGCCTGACTGGGTTAAGTTCTAAACTGACTTGTTCATATTACTGCCTGACTGGGTTATGTTTCTACCTGATTGGGTTAAGATCTGAACTGACTGTTTTATGTTTCTGACTGGATTATGTTTATACCTGACCGAGTTGGGTTTTAAGCTGACTTTTTCTGATTCTGCCTGACTGGATTAGGTTCTAAACTGACTTGTTCATGTTTCTGTCTGACCTGGTTTATTAAATCCTGACTGGGTTAGGTTCTAAACTACCAGATTTATGTTTCTACCTGACTGGTTTAGGTTTCTACCTGACTGGGTTAGGTTCTTAACTGAATGTTATACAAATTCTGCCTGACTGGGTTAGGTTCTAAATCGACTTGTTCATGTTTCTGTCTGACTGGGATAGGTTTCTTCCTGACTGGGTTGGGTTCAAAACTGATAGTTTTATGATTCTGCCTGACAGGGTAATATTTCTGCCTGACTGGGTTTGGTTCTAAACTGACAGTTTCATGATTCAGCTCGACTGGGTTAGGTTCTTAACTGACTTGTTCATGTCCCTGCCTGACTGGGTTAAGTTCTAAACTGTCTTGTACATATTACTGCCTGACTGGGTTATGTTTCTTCCTGACTGGGTTAAGTTCTGAACTGAAGTTTCTGACAGGATTATGTTTCTACCTGACTGGGTTGGGTTTTAAACTGACTGTTTTCTGATTCTATCTGATTGGATTAGGTTCTAAACAGACTTGTTCATGTTTCTGTCTGACTGGGTTATGTTTAATCCTGACTGGGTTAGGTTCTAAACTGCCAGTTTTATGTTTCTACCTGACTGGCTTAGGTTTCTACCTGACTGGGTAAGGTTTCTACCTGACTGGGTTAGGTTCTTAACTGAATGTTATGCAATTCTGCCTAGATTCTAAATTGACTTGTTCATGTTTCTGAACTGACTGTTTTATGATTATACCTAAGTGGGTTAGGATGTGAACTGACTGTTTTATGTCCCTGATTGACTGGGTTACATTCCTGACTGGGATAGGTTCTAAAATGAATGTTTTATGATACGCTCTGACTGTGTTAGGTTCTAAACTGACTAATTCATGTTTCTTACTGACTAGGTAATGTATCTTCCTGACTGGTTTAGGTTTTAAACTGAGTGTTTGATGTTTCTACCTGACTGGGTTAGGTTCTAATATGACTGTTTTATGTTCATGCCTGACTGAGTTAAGTTTCTATCCGACTGGGTTAGGTTCTTAACTAACAGTTTTATGATTCTGCCTGACTGGGTAATGTTCTAAACTGACTTGTTCAATTTTTAGCCTGAGTGGGTTTTGTTTCTGCATTACTGATTTGGATCTGAACTGACTATTTCACGTTCCTGCCTAAGTGGGTTAGGTTTCTGCCTGACTGGGTTAGGTTCTAAACTGACTGAAGGAAGTCACTTTAAGTCTGGGTAAGCTAGGTTCTAAACTGACTTTATCATGTCCTTCCCTGACTGGAATATATGTTGTTCTGAACAAGATTCCTAAATGACCACACTCAAGTTTTTGCTTATTCTTAATTATTTCCACTTGAAAGGGGGCATGATCCTTCATTTAAATCTTTACGCAAGGATACTCTGTGCCAAATTTGGTTAAAATTAGTTTCAGAGAAGAAGAGGAAATTGTGAAAAGTTAACCAAAAAATCAATGATGTAAATGACTACATGCTACAATCTAATTGAAATTAAATCCTTTGATCAGCTCACATACGATCGCTACACAAAGTGTGTAGGGATCATATGTGAGCAGATCAAAGGATCTAATTTTAATTAGATTGCACATGCAATGGACAAATTTGGATCAAAAAAGCTCACCTGTGCCACTGTGCAAAAGGAGAAAGGGGTATTGATGCTGTGTATGTAGTTTATATATGTTCTATTTTTATTACATATTAAAATTATTTTCAACAATTACCTTGTTATTTTACCTGTCCAAAGAACATGACAAAAAAGATAACAGGGTGATTGGTAGAAATATAGGCATACAGGTGTCAAAACTCCCTTTTGGTGAATAGTCTGCATCACTCATTGTTTATCCACCATTAGTGATCTTTAACAGAGGAGACTATGTAGGTTTCACATGTTGACAGTCTACACACCATTGAGTAAACTACATCATTTCCAACTAAAGAAATCTTTTTTATTCACAATAAATGGATTGAAATATGCTGCTCAAAATAACTTCAAAATATCAATAACTTCCTCATTCAATTTAAAAAAAAATCTTATTGAAAATACCAGATCATAAGTTTAGTTTAAGTACACTTCATACTTTCTTGGACGTTAACAAACCTAGATGAAAATGGCAGATAGGCAAGTTCAATTGCTGGTGATCAGATACAAGAAGCTCAGGCAGGTCCAATTGCTGGTGACCAGATACACTTAGTGGTTTGGATTGTGCTGACCGGGATGTCGGCATGGGTGGATTAGAGCAGCTTACAAGCTATGCAGGAGTCCAAGTTTGATTCCCTGTCAATCCTTTTCAGTTATAATATTAAATTAACATATGAAAAAGTATAGATATTAGCGAGCGCAGTGAGCGGTGCGAAGCGCCGCTAGTCACTGGGAGCTCTAAAAGCAATGCCTGGGCGAAGAGAAAATTCGGACTTTGCAAATTGATCCAAATGAATTTTTTTCCTCAGTTACCTGTGGTCCCATAATACTTTGCGAATTGCTTCTCCCCGCAAACAACGTTCTCGCGGTAACAAGAAGTTCCAAAAAAAATATACATCCACGTTGATTTGATGGATATATAGCAGACAAATAGTAGATTAAAACTTCTTTATTAAAATAAGCCCTGTTCAGACTTTGTTTTGGTAATGCTACTTACAAGCGACGTTATGTGAGTGTGACGTCAGAGTCTAGACGTACTAAAAGTCTCGTGCAGTTTGATAACTTTGAAGAGCCCGATCTAAATTAAAACTGAATATAGGTATCTGCGCTCACCCTTATGGTCGCACCGTCAACATATTAAAAATATACAAGACATTGTACGTTCGAAAATGACAAAATAATTCCCCTACTCTCGCACTGAAAGTCTTCAAACTTCTATACATTTATAATATATATATACACACTTTTGAATAAATTCACTAAATTCTAAAGAAAATAAGGAGCTGTGTAAGAGTGTGGGGTGCTAACTTTATTGAAAAATGAGAGGGGTAGATGTTGATTATACTAGGCCTACGTTTTCTAGTGGGGTTTCTAACATAAACCATAAAAATACACCTCACCCTCCGGCCGCCAGTCCGCTTCTTTTTTCTTATACAATGCACATAACACAGCTAATCGATGTAGCATCAATGTTTCGGTGTATTTTTCTTTGTGACCTCTTCGTTTCTACTTGCGTTTCATTTTCAGTTCTTGCTAATCATGCCAAACGTTATTTCTCCCGCCGCTAAACTAACTTCGGGATCGATGTACTCAGCTACGTAATATAAAACTGAAACCATACCGGAATTAATTTTCCCGAACTGCTTGACTGGTTAAGTAATAGACTCTACCTTCAAAAGCACTGGATTTATTGATGTTTTATCAGTTTATAGGTCTCTCTTTCAATGAAAAAGTCATAGCGATATATACATGATATATTACTTCGGAATCATCACATGCCTAGAAATCCTTGTCAGTCTAGATTTAGCATGTTTAGGGTGAAGGGTGAACTCGATAATTATAAATTAACATCAACTGATTAACGCTAATCAATGATATTCTAATAAGAGTGGCGCGAGGCAATTATGTCAGCAGTTTTGTCAGTCATCACCACTGTTCACAATGTCAAGGTACTTTTGTGATAAATTGTTTCAGACTTTCTCTACATAATTGATAACTAAATTGATATCATTTACATCTACATAATACAGCGTTTGCCCTGCGCAAACGGACCTCAGGGAAAAAAAAAACCTGCCGGTCCGTTCACGCATGATGTGAATATGTTTCAAGGGATGTTCAAATTTTATATTAAATTTTACAGGCTCCAAGTTGTGCGGAAAATGAAAATGTGACTTCCTTCGAGTTGGTTTAAATTAAAGTCCCCTAGTACACAAGTGGGGGGGGGGGGTCAAACTTCTCAAGTGTGCTAAAAATTTAATTTAATTTTAACATGTTTAATATTCCCTATTCCATTTGACTTGAAGGTCAACATCAAATATCGAGGTCATGTGTTTTATTATTATTATTATTATTATCTCTTTTTTTTGGTCAAACATACAAATTTGTGTTGCCGATTAACACTTTCTCTAGTTCAAAATTACCTTGACCTTTAACCATGATCCACTTTTAAGGTCACAAGTTCCATTGTAGGTGTTTCCATGTTTCTTTTAAGTTCAACGGCCTCAGGCAAACAGTTTAGTTCTTGGGTCCAACAAAACGCATGTTGCCCGAGAACACAGTCAATAAATGTATACTGTTATTACCCTATATAGGGAATTAATCCTACAACGGTTTAGCAACTCTCAAAGTACAAAATTGACCTTTCCCTTTTGGCTTGGTATATTGTACTCTCCAATTACCCTATTATCATTGTACTGACTTCAAAAGCAGCAATAATTGTTATTGTTTCGACATAAAAAAACAGCAATAATTGTTTATTTATATTAGGCCATTACAAGTTTTTTCTCTATTTAGCGTCCACCCATACCACCTACTCGCAAAAATCACACAAGACAAAAAAATAAAACACAGATAGTCATGAAAATGACGTCATTGAAAGGATTTGATTTCATTAATCTATTTTTCTGGTAGAAAGTTATGTTCTTCAACAAAATCAATGTATTAAATGCTTAAAGTATGTCTAGTATGTACGGAAGCCGGTAGGTGCCAGGTAGAAAAATATTTTATCTGGCGGCCGCCAGATAACTTTCTGGCGGCCGCCAAATAATTATCTGGCGGCTGCCAGATAAATAACTGGCGGCCGCCAGAAACCTATCTGGCGGCCGCCAAATAATTTTCTGGCGGCCGCCAAATAATTATCTGGCGGCCGCCAGATAAATATTTGGCGGCCGCCAGATAAGTTATCTGGCGGCCGCCAGATCTTTTCATCTGGCGGCCGCCAGATAAAATATTTTTTCTACCTGGCACCAACCGGCTTCCGTAAGTATGACATAATGTAGACAAATATTCAGAGAAATTGATAGAATTCAAAGATTCGACCAGAATAATCAATTTAAACTCCAGGCTCCGGGGCCATAAAACTTAGACGAGCTCACTTTTGATCTCAGTCTCACTTTTACCAAAGGAATTAATAGTAGAAAAGTGAGACTGAGATCAAAAGTGAGCTCATCTAAGTTTTATGGCCCCGGAGCCTGATTTGTTTTTTTTTTTCTGATATTGGGTGTCAAAAACCAAGGCGCACACAGACGCTAAACATAGAAAAAACTTAGAATGGCTTTATTGAATGATACAAACTACCTAAACATTGTGAGAAATGTGAGATTTCATCGGACAACAAAAACAAACATAACCAATATAGTATAAATCTAAAAGTTCCTGATCTATAATTTGGTCAAATGTAGATAAAATCAAATGTTATATGCACCTGGAAGGTTTGTTGCAGGTGAACATGTTTTTTTTATTTCTTGGATATTAGATTTCAGCCAATCAGAGAGCTAGGAATTATTAAATCAAATAAGAAACACGGTGATTACAATATATTATCCAAAATATTAACCTTTTAGGCCATCTTTAAAAATAATGTTTGGTTGCACACAGAAAAGGTCCAATAGGTTTAAACCAGGGGAGATGGACAACTTCTGCAGTTCTCAGAAATAAAATACCTGTAGCCATGTTGGATAAACAATACCAATTTTATGATTTAAAAAAACCATGACAATGTCCATGTTTTCCAGTAATTACAGTCAAACCTCATTATCTCAAACTCAAGGGGACCAAGAAAAAACTTCGAGATATCTGATGATTCGAGATATCCAGGGTAAAATACAATGTACTTAAAGAATAAGGGGTTGGGACTTCCAAATCACTTTGACATATCCATGGTATTTCAGATATCAGTTTCAAGATACTGAAGTTCAACTATACTTATACTTTAAAATTATAGGCACAGACAATAAATCATGCAATTATAAAATATATGCAAGTATTATGATTGATTACACTTTTATTGAGGATCAAATAGTACAAGATATTTTGGATCACTCTGTACATTGATTAAATGTGTACACAACTCATATAAGTATTTTTTTTTTTTTTTTTTTTTTAAATTTTCTATTATTATTCCTATCTCATATATCAGCATTGCGGTATATAAACCCTTTGCATACATTACACCTGATTGTTTTTAACTTCTCACTGCTCGCGTAGTACATGTATATCTTATATTGTCCTTTATGCTTATATACATTTTATTTCATCAAACATGCATCTGTGTTTATTTCACTTTGTAATATTGACCTGTGCAATTGATATCAAATATATTTAGTATTTTTTTTCCTGACATGACAGAAGTTATATTTTGTTGAGCCGAAGTACATGTACGTCACAATGACAATGAAGGAGACATCCTTTCAGGTGGAGTCTGTGATGTGAAATACGATGAACTCTGAACAAAAGCTGAGGCTTATATAAGGGTTGGAGTAGGACAGTCTTGAGAAAACTAATATGGCGGATAAGGCGAACTCTCTTCCTTTTCCAATTCCTGTTCAGCTTTAAGCAATTGTATTTGATTAAAAAACAACATTACAATCAGACAAGTGACAATTCATTTATTCCTCCTTTCTAAATAAACATCTTGAAACTATACAGGTCATACACAGCATAACATTGTACAGTACATTGCCATGAAAGATATAACAAGAATTTTTTTTTTCAATCCTTTAATCCCCTTATATTTTAGATCTTCACAGCTAACTGTAGCTCTACTGAATTTGAATATTGTAAGAGAAAAGTTCACTTGATCTGTAGTTTTACATTTACAGAATTAGGCATATTGATGTTATATGGATATGGATTTTTTCTTATCTTAGACCAAAGTTGGTTGAATTCAAACAAAATGTATTATCATTTTGAAAGAATATTAATGTCATAGATTTTTTTTTTCTAGCAAACCATGCCAAAAAACACAATGAAATCTAAAACTGATATATATATAAAAATATGTAATATATAAATGTAGCCTTCTTGTATTAAAAGTTTATTGAAATCAATAAAAAGGAGTAGCATTATTAAAGAATTTAGATTATTCCTCCTGTATTAACTATTGTAACCAAAAAATGCTAAACATAAAATAGGGAACAGTAAGGTCAAAGACACTGGGATGTCAAGGTCAGATATGCCATTTTTGTACGGCTCACCATTACGTATCAGTGTTTTAATTTTGTTTAAAAATACATGTATTTTTCTTTGAAACTGAGCTAAACACAGTGTGACAGGAGGACTGATGAAAAGAAGACAGACGTCATGGCAGGGCACAAAAAAATATTATGCACTTAAATGTAGTCTACTTGTTCACAAGTTTAAATGAAATCAGATAAAAACTGTAGGACAACAGACACATTACCATTACATAAGCTTTTCTGGTCTACATCTAGTAAACCTGAAACAGCACTTGAATTTGATCACATCCCCAGGTCCCTCTAAATATAAAGAAACAATTCTGTGGACTTGATTAGCATCCACTGTTGAAGTGAGATTTCGTTCTCCATTTATATTTGTCTGATATCCAACATCATGTATCATCATACAGGGACCCTTCTTCTTCCATGATAGCTTTTCTGCTGGCTTTGATGATAGCCCTTACTCTTTCTCTCATGTACTGAAACACAGGTAATCAACAAATGTTATCTTTAAGTAGGGCAAAATCTAACAGCAAACAAATGTTCTGGTAGTGTGTATCCATAGATCCAAAATTTATATACAAGTTAGGTCATCCTCACAATGTCAATGTTTTGTGATTTAGGTTTGAGTAAGAATTTTAGCTTGGAAATGGACATGCTCCAAAAATTTTTCTATTCAATCATCTTCAAAATGTAAGATTCAGCATCCGCAGCAAATATGGTAGTGTGCATCCCAAGATGCATGATCCATGCAAGTTTGGTCAGCATAGTGCTTAAAGCAACCTCAAAATAAACTTTAATCTGGTCATTTATCCAGAGAATATAGGTCAGGTCTGGTATTAATCATCCAAGCAAGTTTGGTCCAGGTAAGGTTTATGGAAAATGTAGCTGGGATCCAGCATCTAATGCTAGTCTGGTAGCGTGCATCCCTAGATGCATCATACATGCAAGTTTGGTCCATGCAGGGGTTAAAGATACATCGGAATGAACCTGCTAGAAAATCTTTAATCCGTTCACTCATCCAAAAATGTAGATCAGATCTAGAATTCTAAGCAAGTCCTGTATCTTTCATCCCTACATGAATCATCCATGCACTTTGGTCCAGATAGGGCTTATTATTATTTGGGAATGGACCTGCTCCTAATACTTTAACCCATTCACTAACCTGGAAAATGTAGGTTGGATCAAGCATCTGAAGCTAGTCTATAGTGTGCATCCCTAGATTCATTAGCCATACAAGTTTGGTAACCAAAAAGTTCATAATTACTAAGGAATGAACCTGCTCCAAAAACTTCAATTTGGTCACTCATCCAGAATGTAGGTCAGATCCAGCATCTGAAGCAAGCCTGGTAGTGTGCATCTTTAGATGCATCATCCAAACAAGTTTGGTCTAGGAAAGGCTTACAGTTACCTTGGAATGAGAACTGCTCTAAAAGCTTTAACCTGGTCATTCTTATGAAAAATATTGGCTGAAAATGCAGCATCTGAAACTTGAATGGTACAATGAAACATACTCCTTGCATCATCCATGCAACTAGGATCAATATAGGGCATAGAAATACTTGAAACTTCTCCAAAAACTTTAACCTGGGACATTGAGACTGCTAGTATCACATAATCTCCCCAGCTTTGCTGAAGTTATTTAGAAGACAATAGGAAGTAAATTCATTACAATCTAAGTTCATTGTTGATAACGTACTGGTATATTTTTTATAATAACAAAATCTTCACCATTTCCTCCCAAAGTACTGTTAAATTATATAAACTTTAGCAATATCTATTTACAATTTTCATAATATAAGAGTGGAGAATATGTAGATAAGATAGCTACCCCTGATACAGATTTGGAGTCACTGGCATTACTATTACTGTCTTCCCCCTCCATGCTCAATGTTAGTCTATCTGAGGACACATCTTGTTCTTCAAACAGCCTGCAAACAAAGAGAGAAATGCCTTGCTATAGTGGACTTTATGGTTATTTCTATAGCAAAAAATTGATCTATTCTTTCAGTGTCACAGATGAAAAATCTTTTGGATTTGTGTGAACACAGATATCTTTCTGGCCTTGCCTACCTTTGGTCACTTTCCAAATTATACTGTGATCCAGTGTATGAGGAATCTCCATTTGACAGGCTAGGGGTAGGGTGGTCTGGACTATCATCCACTGTAAGGTCAATACTAACTGGTAGGTCACTTCTCTGTTTTGAAGTAGGAGATCTATAAAGTAAGATTAACTCAATTTAATATTTCTCTATTTATATTTAAAGTGTACCACAAAAGCAAATGTTTCAAATAGGGATGGCAACGAATATTCGAACATTCAAATATTCATTAGATGAGTTGATATTCGAATATGAATTTAAGATTCGAATATTCGGTGTTTTTCAGATTTCATAAAAAGAAGTACTGTGGTTAATAAATTTTGATTAGAACAGTGCTGGAATTATCCCTGTTTAATTTATTAGTAATCAATTTCGATCGCCTGATTTCTTTCACTACTTTCTTATCATAAAGATCTACTAAATCACATGTATTTTGTATTGAGTAAGGTGTTGAAGAATTTTACAATAATGCTTTATGTATAATACAAGACGTACTTTCATAGTTTTTATTAGTTAGATACGATCGGATCTAGAATCGAGGACAACAAAATGAAATCTTAGATTGTCTAATAGGCCTGAGTATACTTATCAAAATAAATTTAATTGAACATTGAATGAATGTCTGATAGAATCAGTCTAATTAATATTGTAAAGGGTTTAATTTCAGAATAAATATGTAAATTACTTGATTATCTCGGGATGTACATAATCCTGAATTTTATATTTATTATCGGGAAATCAGTTAATTACCTAGGAAAATTGTCTATGGAAATATTTGTTTATATATTAAAAACATTGTATCAAAGATTATAATCATATCTCTTATTAGGCAGATAATTGTATTTTATTACACATATTGAAATCTGAACAGTAGACCGTTACGACTATCTTGCCTTTTGTAAGATGACTGGTTCCTCAGTTGGAGCTACTATAAATACACACGTTTCATTTGTTAAAATTATACTTTTCTACATTTAAATCAATTATTTATTTCAAACATTGACAAATATCAAATGGAATTTCTTATTGTACACCTACAAAATCTTCATGCAATTTTACTTCCAGTATAAGACCTACGCTAAACCTTTCATGAGAGTAGGATGATGCATATTTAAAATAAAACAGATTTTATTAATTTTATCGAATATTCGAATGTATTTGAATACTTTCATTGAATATTCGAAAATGAATTATTGACTAAATTGACATCCCTAGTTTCAAATCAATAGAAGCCCCATCTTATACCTGCTCTTATTAAGGATAAAATTCTTAAATGTACATGTATGTTATATTTTTTGTGTTAATCAAGTTCCTTGATCAAGTATGGAATGTATGTGTCATAAGAATGACAAAAAGTACATCAGTGGCCTTGAATTTTGGTTAAACTGGCCATATTTTCCTAATTTTCAGTACAAAATAATAGTGAAATTATGGAATATGTAGTACATGTATCTTTGCTTTATGCACCACTGGTGCCATAGAAATTGGCTGGATTAAACAAGATACCGGATTAGGCAATATTTCAAGTAATTGAATTTGCTGAAAGGGACTAAAATTTGACATCACAATCATCAAGTTTTTATAATACATAACAAGTTTCACTGTTCATCAAATATACTGCCAATTACATACCGGTATCTTTTCCATTTTGATTAGATTCACACTGTCAGTTTCTCTGACAACTGACATAACTTGTGTTATGTGTAAAAGGAAAAAAATATTGCTATAATCATTGATGCTTGAAGCTGAATTACTCAGAAATGGGTTTTTGTGCATCCTATTTTGTTAATCTGCTGATAAAATTCCACCCTTAGGAGGCTATAAATGTACATAATAGGTGAATCTGTGGCTTTTTATAAGAAAGTACATGTACATTTATAAAAAAATTAATAATCCAAAATGTAACATATTAATATTATACAATAAATTGTATTTAAACTTGGGTGTAAGGTCTTATTTAGTGTTCCACAGTTTGTAAATGATTGTAAATCATAGCAGTTTACAAAACTCAATTTTCAGACACATTTTATGCATTACAAAAGGTGATTCAAAGCCATCCAAATGATAAAGAAGTTCTGTCAAAGGTACTAAATCTATTTGTGTTGAAGTGTATTTACAATTTTACATTCTTAGTACACAGATTATTGAAACTTTCACTAAAACATTTGCACCAAGACATAATTAAGGTGTGAAATAAGATTATTTTAGCCATTTGTGTGAAAGTGTGGTCCTATCAATATACAAACAATGTATTAAATTTCTTTGTATCTGCATGAACTGCAGGCAACACAATCTCTTCAAGCTTACCTTGATCTTCGTCTCTTTTTTGACTTTTTGGAACTGGAATGTTTGTCTCGGTGACTGCTTTTATATGATGGTGACCTTGACCTCCTTCGAGATGAGGACTGAGATCTCTTCGGTGAATTAGACCTAGATGACATAGATGTTACTTTATAATACATGTACCTAGCCTCTTTATCACAATCTTTTTGCTTGTACTTTGCTCTTGATTCAAACAGTAGTGTTGGTATTTTATTTGTCACTCCTGATTGGTAGCCTCTAATTAAATTAGTAGTGCTGTTTTTGCTTTGACAGATAAATGTGGAATATGTACATGATACATTTAAATTACTTCAACTCTCTACTCTGTGAAATAATCCATAAGGGTCCTATTGTTATTGATGCAATCATTAATACATGTATACAAAAGGCATGATTCTATTGAATCTCTACCTGTGTGAGCTGCTATGAGGGCTATAAGATCTACTGCGTCTCCTTCTCCTGGGTGACCTTGACCTGGATCTCCTTGACCTGTCCTTGTGCTTTGACTTCTTTGGCTTTTTGGCACTGACTCCTTCACTTTTATCTCTTTCTAGTGGCCCATAGTAAGGACTACAGCCTGGTGTGGTGGAGGGGTTAGACCTTTCTGATGATTTTGCTCCTGTAAAGAGCATTTATTAAACAGATATAAGAGATGCGACATCTTACAGCTATAACATCTCTACATCCCCCACCCCTTCCATCAAGAAGAAATAATAGAGAGGAGAGGAGGTTGGTTGATATTTTGGCAACCCCTTTTCCCCATTATTTAGTCTACATCCAAGAGGATACTTGCCTATCTATATCACAAATATAACTTCTGTTCATGAAAAATGATCTAAAAAAATGATTTTCTTGTTACATTGTATATCATTTTACTCCATATTGTGGCCTCACCCTAACCCTGGAGACCATAATTAAAATGAATTTGAAACTTGTCTTCAGTTTAAAACAATTAACTGGGACACCCACTGTTTTAGAGATTTTTGAAGATGTCTCTTGTATTCCTTAGTTAAACTTTGACTTCCTTTTGTGATCCCACTCCCAAGATTTAAACAAATTTGAATCTTCACAAAATGAGGATACTTGCCTATCAATATAACTTTTACATGCAGTGGTTCTTCTGTTCTTGAGAAGAATTTTATCGATTTATTTTATGTATAATCCAGCATGAAATTCTATTCAATATAAAACAAGAGCACCGCTAAGCGGAGCATGCCCTCGCGCCAGGAACTTCACCGGAAATGGCAATGTCTCCATACGAGAAAAATTCTCAAAACAGACGTTAAACAAGATACACTCAACTAGGCCTAGTAATCAAGGGTACCCAGTATTACTATATGAAGTTTATAATAAGGTAAAGAAATTAAAATGTATTGCAATACTAGTTAAAGAAACTGGGGGGATAAGCCGAGCCATATGCCTACAAAACGATCGATAAAAAATCAATAAATTCATTTTACAAAAATTTCACTTTTTGTTGAATTAATGTAATGCTTATTACCATTTGCATACAAATTTGACAAAACCTGAATACTGTAACAGCGAAAATGATTCTGATTAACACAACAAAATGGCATCACGCTCAATTTTCACAGAAACTGACATAATTTGGATGATATAACTACATTTTTTAAATAGAGTGGGTCATCGTACCATTTTTTTGAGAACGATTAATGAAAGGCAATGGAAAGATGTTGCTTTTTTCACTTGCAAAAATTTGGTATGAAGACCCACTCTACATAAAAAATTAAGTTAACTTACTTAAATTTTCACCGTGGTCTTAAAAAATTCTAAGTCCAAAAACGCTTGCTAAATATAGAGAACTGTATGCTATTTAAATAGACATGTAAGTGTGACTCCGTGGTCTAGTGGTTAGCGAGGAGCTCTTTAAAGGGACGTTTATTGAGGAAAGTGATCGAGTCATGCTCTGATTTTTTTATTTTTTTTTTGTTTTAATTTTGTTTTACTTCATAAAAAATGTTTATAGGAATAACATATATTTCACTGGAAATAAAATATATACATGTAGTAATGAACTTATTTACAGTAAATTATTTAAAATGCCGGATAAAATTATAATAGATACATGTATTTGAATACTTTTATTCCCGTTTTTATTTACTTTAAATAAAAGCGCTTCTAGATCACCATTATCATTATATACGATGTTAGTATTTTTATAATATCTCCACAATAAGTGTAAACACTCAATATGCAGATTAATTAATAGAAGTCCTTACCCATGTTAGACATTTGTGACAGTAAATGAAAGTCAGCTGTTTAGCTTGTTTAGAATATAAATATCATTTTGAAAACTACGGTAAACATTAAAATGCTTAAGTAAATTCGAACAATTGAGAGATTTTTTCCAATAAATGTTACTGCATAGTCGAAAAACGGGCATGGGCACATGGCTCGTCTTATCCCCCCAGATTCTTTTAACAAAAGTCAAGGTGCATACACTGTATCATGGGGGGGGGGGGGGAGGTTGGGTCATAACAAGCATACGTGATTGGGCAGTTTCCCTTATTCCTAGCAGAAACATATCACGTATGCTCCAAATTTCATTCATTTACCTATCTGGGTAAGACTCACAGTAGCATGCAATATGCATCAAATCTGAAAATACGCACGGAAGATATTTTTTTGTAGTGAAAAATGACAATATACTGGTGTTGAGATGTCAATGAAACTTGTGAAACTTTATATTTATAGCTTTCAAGAATTACGTGTGCCTGAGGATTAAATTCCTCAGGCCCCTATTGTAAACACACACGTGTGGTAATTTGGTATTGAAACTGCGACGTTCATCAAATTATTTCAGTTACTCAGTGACAGAGATGACACTTTAAATTCATACAAACTTCCTCAAGACACGCACAATAATATGACAATACGCAAATACAAAGTAGAACTTACGAAGCGGCTCTATCGAAACGACCCGAATTTTAACCAATTTACCGGAAGTGAGTATTGTCAACTCGTACACAAAATTGCAGGGTTTGAAGGTAGTAAAAAAAGCGATATTTTAAGAATTATTTCACCGATTAACTTGAAAATGAATAGGGTTTGTCCTTTTACAATGCCACATAAGTATGTGAAGGCTGAGAAATGATAGTGCAAAGGTTCTCTTTAAATCTTGCCCACAAGCTGTAACGGACACTCTAACACACACACATACGCACAGTAGCGATGCTATATCCCCTCCGCAACTAGTTGCGCGAGGGGATAATAAAAGGAACTTATGTCAGTTGCCCACTAATTCTTCATATAAGCAGAATTTTTGTGAAGAATCTTCAACAGACACAATGACTTACTTTAAAGGCACTAATCTTCAAGGGTTGGGTGATGGTGGAGAGGTTGGGAGGTGTTAATTATCCCCTCGCGCAACTAGTTGCGGAGGGGATATAGCATCGCTACTGTGCGTATGTGTGTGTGTTAGTGTGTTAGTGTGTCCGTTACAGCTTATGGGCAAGATTTAAAGAGAATCTTTGCACTATCATTTCTCAGTCTTCACATACTTATGTGGCATTGTAAAAGGACGAACCCTATTCATTTTCAAGTTAATCAGTGAAATAGTTCTTAAAATATCGCGTTTTTACTACCTTTAAACCCTGCAATTTTATGTATGAGTTGACAATGCTCACTTCCGGTAAATTTAACAGGTTAAAATTCGGGTCGTTTAGATAGAGCCGCTTTGGTAAGTTCCATTTTGTATTCGCGTATTGTCATATTATTGTGCGTATCTTGAGAAAGTTTGTATGAAATAAAAGTGTCATCTCTGTCACTGAGTAACTGAAATAATTTGATGAACGTCGCGGTTTCAGTACCAAATCACCACACGTGTGTGTTTACAATAGGGGCCTGTGGCTGTGGAATTAAATCTTGAGGTGCAATTAATTCTTGAAAGCTATAAATTTATATAAACTTTCACAAGTTTCATTGACATCTCAACACCGGTATATTGTCATTTTTCACTACAAAAAAATATTTTCAGATTTGATGCATATTGCATGCTACTGTGAGGTTTACTCAGGTAGGTAAATTAATGAAATTTAGAGCATACGTGATGTTTCTGCTAGGAATAATGAAACTGTCCAATCATGTATGCTTGTTATGACCCAACCTCCTCCCCCCTGATATCCACCTTGAATTTTGATAAAATCTAATTAGTGTTGCAATACATTTTAATTTCTTTACCTTATTTTAAACTTTATATATATATATAGTAATACTGGGTTTATAACCCTTGATTACTAGACTTAATGTAGATGATTGTATCTTGTTTAACGTCCCTCTTGAGAATTTTTCTCTCGCATGGAGAATTGCCATTACCGGTGAAGTTCCTGGTGCGAGGGGATGCTCCGCTTAGCGGTGCTCTTGTTATTGCTGTTTGCTTGCATACAGATGAACAAATTCATGTTCTCCATGAAATGATAAAATTTCAGCCTAAGGTATCACACTGTATGTTTCTTTTTCAATTATGAAATTAATTTCCCACAAACCAACTTTTTATCCTATAACCATTAAAATTTGACCTCTCCAAAATAATTGATTTTACAAGTGTTTGCATAGACGCTTCTGATGATCAGTGTGTACATACTTAGTAATTCTTCTTCCAATTTTTCCTCATCACCAGCTGCTCCTGAATTACATGAACGCAGCATGTTAATAAACATGGCAGCTTTCCTTTTTCTTTCTGCTTGCATCTGTTTTTCCCTTGAAGTCTGAGCAAGCTTCTCCCTGGCAGCCTGAGCTAATTTGTCCTTTAGTCGCTCCTCAACTATTAAATTATATTATAGTCCCAACTCTTAATTGTTATAATAACATCTAAAACCATAACAAAAACATATTTCTCCCATTAAGACTATGTTTCATCATTCCCATACATGGATTCCTTTTTTGGAGGGAAGGGGGAGGGGGGGGTCTAACAACTTGGTAAACACCTTTTAATATTGTGCTACATGATATTGGTTTTGAGTGTTCCATGCAGTAATAATGTAATATAGATTTGAAAAATTTTAATGAAGTAAAGAGAGATTAAGGTTTCATAAAGTACGCTTGCCCCCCCCCCCCCCCCCAACTCTCATTCCTTAACTTTTTGTCAATAGACACTTGACAAGCCTCATGCCTATTGTGAGACAATGTAATTAGCTGGAGAAAAACAGGTTGCTGTCTCAAACAAGATATGGAACATATATACCTTAATTATGATTGTGAATGTCTGAATGAGTTTTCAAAATGAACAGGAATTTCTCAAACTGTTTTAACTCCTGCAGGAAAACTAACTTGATATTTGCCTCCTCCTACCTAATTTTCTATCCCTCTCCTCCTGGGGTACCTGGGGTTTTTCTACCCTCTCCTCTGTATAGTCACTCCCTACAGGAGTCGACGTTCCCGAGGCACTGGACTTCTCTCTGTCTGAGTCAGCTACAGGAAGCAATAACAGAATATTTAACTTACTCAATAAAAAACACATTCACGTAACTCCTCAACATTCACAAAATTTACAGAGGGGATGCAATTCAGCTTTGAATATCAAAATCTAGAAAAAAGTTACTCGACCTTTATTACATTTTCAACAGTGAAATACTGTGATTTATTTATTGAATAAGTGATATTCTGTCACAGTGTGAAAGGATACCAAAGTGATATTCTGTCACAGTGTGAAAGGATATCAAAGTAAGCAAAAAATAATTTCTGGCCTGTAAAAAGAGATAGTAACTAAAACATCTTGACAGAGACTATAACTGCCAATTTCTTCCCAAATATGTTGCTAAAGTCCATGTTACAATGTTTTCAATCTCACAACTGCTAAGCTATGATGTTTCAACTGCTCAACTATGACGTCACAGCCTATGACAGTGTTACGAAAAGACAGAGGCAAAGGGACAATCAGAGAAAATGCAATAAACAGAAAATTCAATGTTTTATAGTTGGATATGGAAGTTATTTCACTCGTGAGACAGGATTTTTTGATATTTTCACGAGTGCAAAGCACGAGTGAAAATATCAAAAAATCCTGTCTCACGAGTGAAATAAATTCCATATCCAACTACAAAACATTGAATATCCTCTATTTATTTTCTACAATTTACGACATTTTTATCTGTGTTATTTTTTATTTAGCATGACACATCATCCACTGGGTTAAGAAGAATCAAATCTGTTGTAGGTTACAAATGTTTAAGCTTTAGTACACGTGAGTAAGAGAGCCTGATTTGACCATGGTCACCTAAGTATCAGGAGTTAACAAGCTGTGACCTACTCCATTCCTGAGATTGAAACACTGGACTAACGTGACATGAATTTAACAAATTAGTAGAGGACTCTTTATCCATTATCACATTGTATCTCAATATCAAGGGGTTTAAAAGTTTGTTTTTTTTTAAAGATATAATGCATTAACAATTTATGACCAAAATAGCCAAACCCTAGGGAATAAGTGCTCGATAGGCATAATGCTTTGTAACCTAACAATCATTTATCTCCTTACCATCATTTTCACTGCTTTCATTATCAAAGATTTTCTTCTTCTTCTTTTCTTTATGCTTATGCTCTTTCTCCTTGGCTTTGGGTTTAATAGAAAAACTCAGCTTGGTTGGTTTCTCAGTTCCTTTCTTCTCCCTTTCCTTTGCTGCCTCCTGAATAAATTCATAGAGTTCAATTTGAAATTAAAGTGCATAAATCTTGCAGTAGAGTCTCCCAAAAAACTAAAGAAACAGAGTCAGTATACAACATTTTTCTGAGCCTTATTTTTTTTTATTTATCTATATGTACTTATTTAGAGCCCTTTATCATCTCAACTTGGTTTTAAAGTGCTATGAGTTGGTCAACATAAAATTTACACTACATCAAGATTTTTTCATTCTTAATTTGAAAAAAAGAGGGGTTTTTTTTGTGTGTGGTAAATTATCTTATTGATAAGATTTATTATTTCCTAGAGAGGATCTGACCCTTCATTTGGACAAGCTTGAATTCTTATTAAATATGGATGCTTTGTGACAAACTTGGTTGATAGTTGCCCAGTGGTTCTGTAGTAGAATTTGAAAATGTGAAAATGACTGACCCATAAGCTCTTCCCGTCTAGTAGAGCTAAAGTTAAAGGGTTTTTATCACGTTTCAAAATTTTTTGATATGAAAAAGTCTACATGCTATTAAAATCATATATCTAAAAATTTTTGCTAGAAAATTAATATTTTTGATGTTTCAGCGATTCAAAGTTTGAATTTCTCAATATGCATATTTTGATCGCCGATGTTACGCGCCATTGCTCTGACGTCATAGGTGTCAATCCTGGTCAAGCGAAGTACTTATTGTGTAAACAAAAGGGCTCATTCGTTGTGTCTTTTAAACCTGTTAGAAAATAATTAAGTGATAATTGAATAATTGACAACTTGTAAGGTATAATTTATGGCTTTATGGTGCACAAATGTGCACAAGAAAGGTTTTAAGAAGAATTTTTTCCCCACATTTCGTGGACTTGGTCGAGGCTTTTCTCTGCAAATGCGATGGCGTTTATCTCCATTCAGAACAATCGTTTATGCCCGATCGATCACGATTTTTTTCTGTCCTATAAAATATTTTAAGGAAAGATACTTTTAAAAAAAAATAATAAATGACAAACATGCATTTTCTTTTAAAAGTCGCACAGAATCTAGTAGGAATGTTGTAAACTTCGTAATGGCGTACGGCGCCATTGAAGAAGTGTCATTTCTAGTACATGACATTCACTGCTAGAACAGATAGAAGATATACAGGATTTACTTATTTATAATTAATTAAAATAATAATGGAGAAGAATTTAAAATTCCCATATTTATAAAAGTTTACGAAGTTAAACTTTAGTAATTCGTTCTATTTAGTTGAAGTCCCGAGTTGTCAACGGCTTCGTCTTCGGTGACCTCTTTGCAATTGTCGGCATATTTTCGGGTTATTTCTCTCTGCTAGACGTTCATACCTTAAAGATTGACCGTCGATAACCAAAGGAATATAGTCTATGTCAAATTTCCAACCGGCCATATCCTGTATTCTATTTATTTAGCGTAAAAATCTATTCAATATATTTTTTTTCTTACGATAAGCTTTACGAGTTCTATTGACCATTGACACCTATGACGTTTCAGTACCACATGACCCCTATCTAATTAGTGGAGATTTTTACTTCGAGGACCCTATATTACGGGCGTTTTAACGTCTAATTACGGCCGTTTTCAACATTTTTTCATAATTTAACGATAAAAATATGTTTCAAGAACATAATAGTGTTTCATTTTTAAGAAATTTAGATACGTGATAAAAACCCTTTAAGGTAACCTTTAATCATTTTGGTCTGGGATTCAAAGGGATTTATCTTTCATGGCCTACTGCAAAGTGTCATCTTCTCAATATATTGGTCAGACAACACTGGTTTACAAACTAACAACTTTTGCAAAGCTCCTTCAAAGAAGGCATTAAATCAATACTGTACATGCTGTATGTGGACTTTTCTAGCAGGATTAATATTTCAGTGCATTGCACCCTCTCTTCAGTATAGTTATTCATTACCGGTAATAAAGCAATCTCCAATAATCATAATAATATAATGAACTTAAAGACAGATAGGACTGCAGGAGTCCACAACCTGCAGATGGGCTTATTTATAAGTACATACACAAAAGATAATTGTTAACATATTGTATATTCTTACCCTCATGTGTATCTGCTTTTTGAAATCATAATATGGAAAATGGACATGATGTGGTAATAGGAACTCAAATCTTGGATCATTTTTGCTCTTGACAACGATTTCAAATTCGATTCCATTTTTGGCCACATACATTGCCATTCTGTCAATCACTGGCTGTATATCTGGTGGAGGTGGTACAATTTGTTCAAAAGGGCCTGGGGAACCTCTGAAAAAACAATTCTAAAAATATAAGTTTTAAATTTTCCTTTAAAAATACTATATGTAGATTTATAACATGAAAGATATGAACAAAAATAGTAACTTACATTAGATTTTTTAGATCTATAACACCAGGCCCCAAGACCATAATATGATAATAGACTTAAGTCAAAATTTTGATTCTCAGTATCTTGAGTTTTATTTTACATATGTGTTCTGAAATTTGCATGTTTGTTTACTATCTTAATACAAACAAATGATGAAAATTTTGTTTTATTATCAAAATTATTTCAGAAGTTATATTCATTTGAAATTCTGACTTAAGTATGTTCTCAGTTTAAGGTCTTGAGGCCAGGGACCAATGGTTCTGATAAATTATTTTACTTACCTTCATTGTGTAGGTTTAAAGAAGTTTTGAGTCAGACCATTTTTTTCAGTGTCGGGAGAGGGCAAACAGACAATATTTTAAAGATGGCCTTGATCAGTCAAATTTTATGGTCTCAATTGAGTGTACTTTACACATCAAAATTTGAATTGTAAATTTGAGAAATAAAAGAATATTATAGAACTCTTACCTCACATTCAGTACAATATATTAAATAATGTTATTTTAAGCAACAGTATACAGTTAAAATATATTATTGAGGGAGTCAGGAAGATTCCAGTTCCCAAAGAGCAGGCCTATTTCCCAAGGCAAAACCAAGGGAAATAGTCTTGCTTGAGGGAAACTGGAATCTTTCTGACTCCCTCAATGATATACTTTAACTGTTTTGTTATATCAATACAAATTCTTCACCAGCTAACTTGTAACTGCAATTCATCTTATATGCAGTGCAATTATGAGGTGCACAATGGAAATACTGTCTTATTTGGTACTTTTTTGTGAAAAAATAATTAAAAATTACATTCTTTATAGGACGGGTGTTTCATTTAAAACTTTACCAAAATCAGAAAATGGTAATATTGCAAGGAATATTCTTTTTTTATTACAAACATCATTTTGAACAAGAAATCTGTGAGCAAATGCTCACTAGTAATACCCCTGCTCTGATAATGAATATACACTCTCATGTTGACATCGAATTCATACAAAAATGAATCCCACCATTAGGCATTGTGCTCAAATTTCAAGCATCTGCAATGAACAGTTGCTGAGAAAACTGTGACAGAAATTTGGTACGGACAGATGCACGGATAAACAGGAAGTTGACATCGGATTCAAACAAAAATGAATCCCACCATATGGCATGCCTAAACAAAGAGTGTGCTCAAATTTCAAGCATCTACACTGAGTAGTTGCTGAGAAAACTGATGAAAATTCGTTATGGACAGATGCACAGATAAACAGGAAGTTGACGTCGGATTTGAACAAAAGTGAATCCCACCATATGGCATACCTCAACAAAGACTGTGCGAAAATTTCAAGCATCAGAGCTAAGTAGTTGCTAAGAGAACTGCGACGAAAATTTGTTTAGGACAGACACACGGACGTACAGCTAGACAGACGGACAGACACACAAGGGTAAAACAGTATACCCCCCTCTCCTTTGGAGCGGGGGTATAAAAAGTAACATGATCCACCTCTCCCTGCACATTAAATGTGTCAGTTTTTACTATGATGTCACAATAATGAGTTACTCATCTTCCCTTATAAATTAGCCCCCCCCCCCCCCCATATGTAACTTTGACTGAGATGTGTAATGAATATTAATGATTTTATTTGGAACATTTCAGAACTTTCATAGATTTAAAGAAATTGCTAGGTGTTCAGAATAGGTGTGTATCACGTCATTAAACCGCAGGAACCAGTCTTTTTATGGTGATTTTCAGGGAATCAGTATATAATTCAAAATATTGTTGAATTACTCTTACATACATGTAGCAAAAAATCAGTAGATGTTAAATAATAGATATTGTCATCCCTTAAAATCCCTTGACATCCCTGGCTGATGCTGCACTCTACATGAAATGGTCATTCTTATGCAAAAATGAATTTTGTTCTCTACATGTAAAGAAATTGTCATGACAATCATATTGTTAAAGAAAAAGGGGTCCATGGGGACTTTCTGCAGACCTAGAAGACTAAGTCAGCAATTATAAAAACATACATATCCAAATTTTCATTAGAAAGTGTGTGTGTGTAGTTCCACTGTACCTATCAGACTGATAGTCCTCCATGACAACCTGTGTATGTCTCAGAGGCAGAACTGGTCTCTCTACATCAGTCCCAGGAGGCAAAGGCTCAGTCTGCATGTGTGTAGGAAGGGTAACAGGCTCAATCCCGGGGGGTGGTGGGTGAGCATGGTGGCTCCCACCAGGTACAGAATCCTGGTAAAATGGTGGTAGAGGTGGTGGTTTCAATGGCTTTGTTTCCTCCTCATAATCAGGAACTTGGTTGGCACTGGAGCTGAACAAGATAGTTTTGTAAGCTTATCAATAACAGTCATTGAATACATCAAATTATGCATATTTTTTTCAATCTGAAAAACATCCATATTAATCACGTGTAAAGAAGACATATTTAAGGAACTAACCTGTGAGCTGTGTCAGGTTGTTGTTTCTTGGCCAGTGATTTAATCAGCTGACCATATGGTGTATCATGTACAGAGATTTTGGGCATCTCCACAGCTTTATATGCTGGCACCTCAGGGGCTGGGGCAGCTTTCCTAGTGGCCATCAAACTAGGGTGGAGATATCCATGTCCATGACCTTCATCTTCAGAGAGTACAAAAGAAACAAACAGCATTATCAAATGATGTATTTTCTTAACATCAAAAACACTCTGTATCAAAACCTGTATACCTATCTTAAAAAGTATCATATGATAAAGAAAGTTGTGTTGAAATACAACTGCCTGAAATGTGGCCAAGTTGTGGTGCCTACAATACTGTAAACGTATTACATTTGGTTGTGTATTCTAATTAGCGCCTTTCGCGCCAAGCAGCTTCTGCTAAATCAAGTACATCGCTAAAAAGACTTATGTAAGTTATTTCAGAAGGCACTGAATCAAATTCACACCAACTTGATAAAAAATCAATTTCCGCCAAATATCATACGTGCCAAATAAAATACATTTACAGTACCTCCTGGACATACTCTTTACATGAATTTATGAGATCCTGATTCAGTCACATATCAAGGTCATGGTCTATGGGCAATAAGATAATGAAATGGTGTCCTTTTGAAACCTTGCTTGGAATAAATGTAAACTACTGGTAGGTGTGTTGCTGCTTACAAGTTGTATCTAAGTTGTCTAACTTTGAAACTTTTCAATGGAATATTAATACTAATCCATTTTTGCCCATGATATTAGAGAGTGACATTACTGTGAAATTCAAGGTTAAGTAAAAAATGTCACAAGGTCATCAAAGTTTACAGTCTGGGGAAGACAATTGTATTCATTCAGAAAACAACACCTAGTTTAAGTAGCAAATGTATTTTATATTCCTAAAATTGTTTTGAAGTACCTTCATCATCTTCTTCAACAGCTTCCTCTTTAGGTTTGTACTTTCCAGACTTGATCATCTTCACCATGTGCTTGTAGTAAGGGTTTAGTGGATTTTCAAAATGAAGAAAATCAAACTGTGAATTATTGGCCTGCTTAGTTTTGATCAAGATTTCCATCTGTGCTCCTTGTTTGGCAACAAACTTGGCTGTTTTCAAGATGATTGCATTACTTTTTTCTGTACTGGGCTATTGAAAGCAAAGTCACAAAGGTAAATGCCACCTATCTTGTAGGCTAATATCATATTTCTATGATTATTTTTAACTTTTTGCAAATAAATAACAACAAGAGGCCCATGGGCCACAACGCTCACCTGAATAACTTTGGCCCTGCTGTTCTTCACCAGATGATCTTTTTGTAATACCTATTGTGGCCCCGCCCTACCCACGGGGATCATGATTTTAACAATTTAAAATCTACACTACCCTAGGATGTTTCCATATAAGTTTCAGCTTTACTGGCCGAGAGGTTCTTGAGGAGAAAATTTTTGAAGATTTTTCCTATATATTTCAATGTAAAACTTGGATTCCCTATTGTGGCCCCGCCCTACACCCAGGGGTCAAGATTTGAATTCTTTAGAATTTACGCTGCCCCAGGATGCTTCTACAAAAGTCTTAGCTTTTCTGACCAAGTGGTTCTTGAGAAGAAGATTTTTTTTTTCTATATATTTCAATATAAAAATTGGATTTCCTATTGTGGCCGCGCCCTGCCCCCAGGGGTCATGATTTTAACAATTTAGAATCTACACTACCAAAGGATGCTTCCACATAAGTTTCAGCTTTTCTGGCCTAATGGTTCTTGAGAAGAAGATTTTTAAAGATTTTTTCTATATATTTCAATGTAAAACTTGGATTCCCTATTGTGGCCCCGCCCTTCCCCCGGGGTCATGATTTGAACAATTAGAATTTACACTACCCCAGCATGCTTCCACATAAGTTTCAGTTTGTCTGGCTAAGTGGTTCTTGAGAAGAAGATTTTTAAAGATTTTTTTCTATATATTTCAATGTAAAACTTGGATTCCCTATTGTGGCCCCGCCCTTTCCCCGGGGGTCATGATTTTTACAATTTAGAATCTACACTACCCCAGCATGCTTCCACATAAGTTTCAGTTTGTCTGGCTAAGTGGTTCTTGAGAAGAAGGTTTTTAAAGATTTTTTCTATGTATTTCAATGTAAAACTTGGATTCCCTATTGTGGCCCCGCCCTTTCCCCGGGGGTCATGATTTTAACAATTTAGAATCTACACTACCCCAGGATACTTCCACATAAGTTTCAGCTTTTCTGGCCCAGTGGTTCTTGAGAAGAAGATTTTTAAAGATTTTTTTCTATATATTTCAATGTAAAACTTGGATTCCCTATTGTGGCCCCGCCCTTGCCCCGGGGGTCATGATTTTAACAATTTAGAATCTACACTACCCCAGAATGTTTCCACATAAGTTTCAGCTTTTCTGGCCCACTGGTTCTTGAGAAGAAGATTTTTTAATGACCCCACCCTATTTTTGTCTTTTCTTGATTATCTCCCCTTGTAAAGGGGTTTGGCCCTTTATTTTAACAATTTAAACTCCCCTTCACTCAAGGATGCTTTGTACCAAATTTGGTTAAAATTGGCCCAGTGGTTCTTGAGAAGAAGTCAAAAATGTGAAAAGTTTACAGACGGACGGACAGACAGACAGACAGACGGACAGACGGGCGGACGGACGACGGACAAAATGTGATCAGAAAAGCTCACTTGAGCTTTCGGCTCAGGTGAGCTAAAAATACTGAAAAGGGTACAATTAATGCCAATTCATAAGGCCATTTCAATAATATTTCAATGTTATTTCTATAATTATAAAATGAATTTTAAAATTTTCTGAAAATTATGTTTAACACCCCCCCCCCCCCCCTCCACACACACAAATGAGGTCCAAGGTCCACAATGCTCAATGGAGTTACCCTGGCCATGCTGTTCTTCAGCATTCGTTTTTTTAACTTTTTTTTCATGGATTGAACTAGTTTGAATGTACATTTAGTCAGGGAACTTTGACATAAATTTATTACTTTTTGTGAATGATTCACTCATATGTTTGTCTTTTCTTAATTATCTCCCCTGAAAGGCAGCCGTTGCCTTTCACTTTAAAAGTCTTGAAACCCTTTACTCTAGGATACTTAGTGCCTAGTGTGGTTGAAACTGGCCAATTGGTTCTGCAGAGAAAGATAAAAACGTGAAAAGTTTATGCACAGCAGCATCAATAACAATTACAATGCTGCAGACCACAGATAAAAAACAAAGTTTAAAGCTGAAAAGTTCACTTGAGCCTGAGGATTTGGTTCAGTTGAGCTAAAATAAATCCCAAAATCTGACTTGTGATCAATATATTTAAAGGCTCTATAAATAAGAAACATAGGTAATCAGAGATTACAGAGCTCACCTCAACGAATGTTGTCTTTAAATAAGGCAAAGTCCCACACTAAACTAATAATCTAGTAATGTGCATCCCTAGATGCAACATTTATGCAATTTTGGTCTGATAGGGCTTGCAGTTACTTGGGAATGGACTTATCTAAAAACTTCAAACTAGTCACTCGCCCAGAAAATGTAAGTCAAATCCAGCATCTGAAGCAAATTTGAGAGTGTTCATCAACTTGATGCATCATCCATGCAAGTTTGGTCAACATGGGGCTTATAGTTACTTGAAAATGAGATCTGCTCTAAAAACTTTAACTTGGTCACTCATCCGGAAAATGTAGGTCAGATCCAGCATCTGAAGCAAGTCTAGTAGTGTGCATCCTTAGTATCATTCATGCAAGTTTGGTCAATATAGGGCTTATAGTTACTTGGAAATTGGATCTGCTCCAAAAACATTAGCCTGCACCAAAAACTTTAACCTGCTCCAAAAACATTAACCTTGTCATTCTTTAGCTGAAATTGCAGCATCTGAAACCTTGACTGGTACAATGAAACACACTAGAAGCATCCTCCATGCATCTCTGATTGATATAGGGCATAGAAGTACTTGAAAAAAAAACTGCTCCAAAAACTTTAACCTGGGACGCCGACGCCGAGGGTATTACATAAGCTCCCCCAATTTCGTTGAGGTGAGCTAAAAACCTGCTGAAACTAAGATTTGTTCTAACTTTAAACTTATGAAGTCAAAAAGCCAAGTTTCAAGCTCTCCCTCCAAGAAGACTTAACAATTTTGGAAATCCTTTTGCTATTAAACCTTACTGGTGTAATATCCTCTGGAAGATTCAACTCAGACGGAACTGTGAAAGGTTTTTCCTCTTCTGAAATGGCTGAAATATTAAATGATGTGAAGCAAGTTGTTTATTATCAAAATCACGTTATCATTCTTCTCCTAGTTTTTAAAATGAAAGTGAACTACCTTGATAGTATTCTGCATATTCATCCTGTTGCTGTTGTTCATAGCTAAATCCTACTGCTCCATAACCCTCGGAGAGAGACTGGTAATATCGCTTCCATTCCTCTTCTACATTACAAATCAAAATATGCATTAGATTTTTTTTTAAAAACAAAATTAAATTTATCATTCTCTTTTTCCACACCAAACATATTCATTCACACACAAAACATACCCTCATGTAACTTCTTTTCTGCTACATCTGTATGGAGCTCCAGATATCTTTCCTCGTCACACATCTCCTCCAATTTCTTCTCCTCTGGGGTCAGTACGCAGGGCTGGGCATGACTAGAGTCATATGGCTTAAGGTCATACAAATGACCTCGCCCGTCATACCTGCAGGGAAGGCAAAAGTATTAGACGCTATTCCCATACTATACACAATAATAAAATCACATTGTACCATACCTACTTATAAAAAATTAATACTGTAAATACTAATAAAAAAGTCATAATTTCCCAGCAGAGTGAATTAAGAATTCTTCTTTCAGAAATACTACAAATATTCTTTAAAGGGTGAATCCTTTATCTTTCCCTATCATTTCATGATACTATGTTGAAATGCTCCAATTGCTATACAAGATTTTCAAATTGATCAATAGTTACCCCATGGCAAATGCCAATTTTTTTGTATTACTCAAATTTGAAAAGGAAAAGGAAATAGAGGGCATAATGGACATAAAATATGAAATTAAAAATTAAGATCAGATCATAATAAGGGACTACATGTATATAAAAAATATGTGTAATACTTCTTTTTAATAAGTAATGTGATCAATCAAAAAGAAATTTTTATGAGGGGTCAAAGAAGACTCATAAAGATAAGAGATAGTGAGATGAATGAACACAAATAAAATTTATAACTGTATTTTGGTTCCTTATTGGCTAACTAAGTCAGCTATTAGGAGCCGGGCCATATGTTAGCAACTTTCTGTGGACAGTTAGTAACAAAGATAATGACTAAAAATATTTATGCTGAATTATCTCTGCCATTAGTTTATATTTAATGTCTTATAATTGACCTTCCTTGAAGTTTTCATATACATACTTAAAATTAACCTGTCTATGAAGTTTTCATTTATATAGTATGTGCATGCTCAGGTCCTAAAAATTATTAATGAACTAGGTTTGATTTATATCTGATTCAAAGCCCATTAATGTGAGAGTGAATGGTTTCATCATTGAACCTGTAATATAATCAATGAACAGATAATATATCCTAAATAAATTAGCCAAAATCATGATTTAATTCATTCTGCTCAGCCCTTTCATTTTCCTCTCCATATTCAAGTAACCCAATTTGTCTAAATGAACCTATGTTTTGAGAATTGAATATAATGTACATTTTATTTTATTTTTATTTTTTACTTAGCATTTCACATACACTTATAATACAGAGTGGGTAAGTAAATTAAATAACACTTAAGATTATAACCCATTGGCTTTTTAAGACTCATTTTTTTTAATAATAAACATCTAGATCTGGTTTGTTTAAAAGCGATTTTAAGTCTAAAAGCCATGGATTTAATCACTTTATAATAGATACATGAAGTTCTATCTTTGTGTTCTTTCAATTACCTTTTATTGATGTTATTTTGAACACAAAAATTGAACAATATGATTGAAATTTGATACTTATACCTGATCACCAATACATTAAATATTACACCAACTGCCAATATTCAGCAACTGAAACATGTACATACAAATAACAATGTACTCAGTAATGAAAGAAGACAACATAATTTAATAACATAGTCAATGGCAGAAAGGTATTTCTTTTCTTCGTGAATTGGGTAGCAATTTCCTCTTGTTGCCTCTGTCCACTCAAGTGCAGGTCATGACCTTCTGCTCCTTTCTGAGATTTTTTGTTTTTTCTATGTACTTTTCTCACTACAGTACAATTCATAGGGTATACATACATGTTAACCCTGTTCAAACACTCTCTATCATCTGAAAGGCAACTGCTTCATGATTAAACATTAAATACGCGATAATTCGAGTGAAATCGAAACCTTGAAAATTTTCCCAGGTTTGGAATGGAAGACCGACCTGTCTATCTGTAGTTTATCGTCGCCCATCCAAGGAATAAGATGAGATCCTTGGTCGATAGATAATGCCCTCTTGTCATCCCTAAATAGTTTACATGCATATCCAAACACAAATAACTCCTCTTTATCATCGGTTTGCTTCTCTCTTTCAGTCAAGTTGGGGTTCAGCCAGTCAGCAGCCATTTTAATTTCTAGCCTTCTGAGAGGACGCTGTACTATTCAAGCACTCATTGTTTCGGACCAAGACGTTTGGACCTCACTTTCATTTTTTTTTTAATTTCTCTAAATTTAGGAAATGTAATTTGCTTATAGTTCCTGTGGAATAAAATAACATGTATTTTCCAAGCTTTTTTTATATTTGGAAATTAAAAAAAAACCGGATTTTTTATTTCAAAAAAAATTTCGTGGTCACGAAAAAAAAAAAATCGCGGCCACGAAATAAAAATTATATTATTAAACTAGAAAATTCAAACTTATATTTGTTTCATGAAAAAATCAGATTAATTTAAAGTCTTAATACTATTGATGATGAGATCGAAATAACTTTAGCATGTGTTTAGAGTACAAAATTCTGATTCCATTATTCACACAGTCATGTATTTGATATTTGATACTTGATTCAGTACAATCTATATTATCCATTTATCTTTTATTCTAAATATTTTGAAAAAGAGATTTAGAAAATACACAATCAACAATAATGTCAAAAGAAAACTTGGTTAATAACTTTGCCCCAAGAAATTACCACTGATTATTATTATTATTCAGGTATACATGTACATGTATTATCTCTCGTTTATTACATTTTCAACAGTGAAATACTGTGATTTATTTATTTAATAAAAGTGATATTCTCTCACAGTGTGAAAGAATACCAAAATGATATTCTCTCACAGTGTGAAAGGATATCAAAGCAAGTAAAAAATAATTTCTGGACTGTCATAAGACAGAGATATTAACTTGATAGAGTTAAAACTGCAATTTCTTCCCAAATATGTTGCTGAAAGCCATGCTATGTAATGTTTTCAATCTCAGAACTGCTAAGAATGACGTCTCAACCGCTCAACTATGACGTCAAGCCTATATGACACTTTGTAAAGAAAAGACAGAGGCAAAGGGAAAATCAAAGAAAATGTAATAAACAGAAAATTCAATGTTTTGTAGATGAATAGGGAATTTATTTCACTCGTGAGACAGGATTTTTTGATATTTTCACGAGTGCGAAGCACGAGTGAAAATATCAAAAAATCCTGTCCCACTCGTGAAATAAATTCCCTGTTCATCTACAAAACATTGAATATCCTCTATTTATTATATTTTGAAAATACCCCTTAGTATTTACCTCCTTTACGTTTTATATAATAAATACAAGTACAATATTGAAGGCTGAACTGTTATCATACGTATTAGAAATGGGCCGAAGATCATACGGTGACGTATCTATACAGGCCCGTAGGAAGCAATTTCAGTTGGGGGGGGGGGGCACAGCCATACATTTTTCAGTTGACAGTTGAGGGGGCACTACCAAAAATTTTCCTGACAAGCAAAAAAAAAAAAAAAGAAGAAGAAAATCAGACGTTTTTATTGAGGGGGCACAAGCATAGAGTATCTATGTTTACTATAGTACTCTATCTAACGGCAAAATTATTGCCCCCCCCCCCCCCCCCGGGTTCCTACGGCCATGCTATATAAGTGAGAAATTCTCGAATGGGACGTAAAACAACATACAATCAATCAATCCAGTGACGTATAACAACTTGTTATATGTCACTGATCAATCAAACCCAGTGATGGAATGGTTTCGTCCGACGTGATATGGGGATCGAAGTGTCCTTGGGACGAATTCCCTAGATACCGACAAGACTAACGCACAAAACCTATTCGATGGAAAGTATGGAACCTGCAGTGATTTTGACAGAGAAGATTAAGAGCAAACTTACAGTATTTTTGGATCATAATGAAGCGTCTGAAAACTCCAAAGAAATACAAAATATGTTAAGTACAGAGGGGAGCAGGTTCATCCCATTTAGATTGATAAAGTATGCATTTGACAAGCATCAGTGTATAGGTAAATCATCTAGGGTATTGTATGAAATTCTCTAACGTTAAGTAGGCTAGAAAAGTAGACAATAGACAGGCATAATAACTCATATTTATTATTCATGTTATTGGAGTTTATTACATTCAGGGTCTCAAAAGATTTTTTTTTTGTTTTGTGCATACAGTGTGATACCAAAAAATGGGAAATATGACATCAAACCAGGAATAGTTATGAGTCATTATGCATCCACAGGTGCTTGTGGACAGGGCCCTGCTTTTATGATGCATCCACCCCCCTTTTATGATTTCTTTTTATAATTATTTTAATTATATATTATTTTATCTCTTTAGTCTTACTACTTCATCTAGTACATGTTCCTGATCAAAAATCACATTAAAATTACGACACAGAGGAAAATTCTAATAACATTTCTTACCCATATATATATATATATGAAATATTTAAGAAATAAGGTATCATTTTTGAACATCTATCGGGATATAAATACGGGTTGGTCACGAGATCAAATTCCATAAAGCCCGAAGGGCTTTATGGTAAATTTGATCTCGTACCAACCCGCACTGTGGGCACTGTGGCACTGTGGGCCATGGGCCTCTTGTTTAATAATATTTTAGCATGTCTAGCCCTGTGGTCTGCAGAAAGATTAGAGGGCAAGATTTTTTCTATCAGTGTGTGAAAAGTTAATATTCTGAATCAGCTTTAAATCCAATTTTACTTCAAAACTGCATGTTCCTTACAAGTTTTCTCTCATTCCACTCATAAACATTTGCCAAAGATCATAAATTATATATTTGATAACATGCTTTCAAGACTTGATCAAATTTGTACTACAGCCATTTTAAAAATTATTATGTATTTATATATTTAATTAAGGAGAAACCAAAGAATACCTCAATGAATGGTTGGAAGGAAGTATACTTCACATACCAGCTTATGAACCACCAGAGAGGGTTTGCATTCATTTATATTAATTTCACATCAAAATGGTAATGTAAGATTAATAGAAAACACTATAACAATGCTGCTGATAAAGCCTTTAGTAGATTTAGTGGGACTAATCATTAATCAAACACCTATGAAATGGTTGACAAAAAATAAATAAATAAATAAATTAATTAATTAATTAAAACTAAAACAATTGGAAATGTTTCACAATTTTCATTTAATGGGTAGCAGACTTCAATCCTTGAATACATGATTTATGATGATGATAATGTTTTATTTTGTTTTCTTTTCATTATTAGAATCAAGAACTTGAGGCAAGGATACAACGCTTAAAAGCAGAACAGGCTAATAGAGACTACAAAGCAATGGTCAGAAGTGTAGACAAAGAACAGGTACACATGGATTTACCTAAGATCATTGACTAATTTTGTTCTTAGATATAAAATAGATGTAATATTTTTGTATTTAAACATTGAAGCTTCAGAGTTTACCCTGGCATCTCATTAATTTTCAGAAAATGGAAAGAGAGAATATTGGGGCAGAAGGTATGATCAAAACACTTTTTAGCTCACCTCAATGAAGTCGAGATGAGCTTATGCTATACCCCCCGGCATCAGTGTTAGCCTCAGTGTCCCGGTTAAAGTTTTAGGAGCAAGTCCATTCCCAAGTAACTATAAGACCTACCTGAACCAAACTTGCATAGATGATGCATCTAGGGATGGACACTACAAGACTTGCTTCAGATGCTGGATCTGACTACATTTTCCAAGGTTTACTTTAGGAACTTTAAGATATACCTGAACCAAACTTGCATGGATAATGCATCTAGGGATGCACACTACCTAATCTGCTTCGGATGCTGGGTCTGAATTATATTTTCCTTATGAGTGAATATTTGCCCTACCTGAACCAATATAGCTTGGGTGATGTGTTTAGGGATGGACACTAACTGACTTTCTTCGGATGCTATATTTTCCAAATGACTGGCCAGGGTATTATTTTTGGAGTAGCTCTATAACTATATGGCCTGTTATGATGAGAGTTGCATGGATGATGCAACAATGGATGTACATTACCAGACTTGCTTCATATGTTGGAACTGACCTACATTTTATGAATGAATGAACAGGTAAAAGTTTTTGGAGCAAGTCCATTCCCAAGTAACTACCAGTATATGATATTTTTTTTTTTGGGGGGGGGGGGGCATTCTACTTAAATCAAACTTGTATGGATATTGACCTCAGGATGCACACAAACTTGAAAAAAATTGGTGTGAGGTTCACCTTACTTATGCTTTGTAATCTTTGATTACCTATGTTTAATGAGTTCCAAATCATTTATTTCTACTGAGTGGATTGGTGATTTTGGTTTTTCTCCTTCTAATCTTAAAAGTGTAGCATATCTTTATACCAATTTTTCTAGTTCCTCAAATCTTGTCAGTTGATGGCTCCTTTTACAATTTCAAGCTAAGCATTCATTATATATATCATAATATATATATCATAACTCATAACAGAGTGCTTCAAGTAAGAACAAAAACAAAGACATGGCAATAATTACTTCATGATAAAGTTGAATTAACTATTACTGTACTACATATACATGTTTTAGGTAATTAAAGGATGTGAAAATTGACATTTTGGTTAATTAAAGCATATTCATGAACAAAGGCTTTTTATTGGCATCTTTCAAAATTCTTCTTAAGAACCACTGGGCCAGAAAAGATGAAACATGTAAAAGCTCCATTACATAGTGTAGATTCAAGTTTGTTCAAATCATGACCCCTGGGGGTAGGGTGTGGCCATAATAGACAATCAAACTTTAGAAAGGAATATACAGTGAATAAATCTGATGATGAAGACCAGCAGGGTCATATAATGACTCAGGTGAGCCTCTTGTTTTACTTTCCCAGTAAACATGTAGTAGGGTATGATATCAGTTAGTACTCTATTGGATGTAGAATCTCTAGACCCCATCAGTCGACATTTTGAACTATGTATGATTAAATATATATAAGATTAAATAAGATTTCCAAGACCCCTGTGCCACTTAATATATTAAATAGTACACAACCCCAAATTACAGAAACATCAATTCATTTGATTCCAGGCTAACATAAAAAAAAATGATTTTTTTGATATACTCTGACTGTCTCGTCAAATCTTCCCTACACTGTACTTAATCATTGTTTTAGGTACATTTATTTTTTTTATTATTATTATTATTTTTTTTTTTGGCAAAAAAAGTGTCCGTATCATTTTTCAAGTTAAGGTTTATTTTCTCCAAGATGTATTTAGATTTAAAGTTTTTACATCAACAAGCATTCTGAGAGTATTGCATGAGCAATACTAGTCCCCTACCGGCAAGTGTAATCTGGTTCTGTTCCCGTTAAGAATTGAAAATGCCATAATTCTGTCAAAAATTAATGAAGCGGGACGAAATGCAAACTTGATCTATAACTAATCAAGGTAAAGCCATATACCAAAAATCAGCTCAATATCTACAAGTGTTTAGAAGAAAATTGCGGAAAACCCGTAAAAATTGAAAAGGCCGTAATTCCGTCAAAAATCAATGAAGCGGAACGAAATGCAAACTTGATCTGTAACTCATCAAGATACACTCACATACCAAAAATCAGCTCAATATCTGCAAGCGTTTAGGAAAAAAGTGCGGAAAACCAAGTGGGACAGACAGACAGAGGGACAGACAGACAGACAGACAGACGGATGGACAGACTCAGAGGAAACCTATAGTCCCCTCCGGTTTCACCGGTAGGGGACTAATAAATATTAAGTCTCTCTTGTTGTCCTGTGTGTAATGCAAACCTCAATAAATTTTCAAGTCTGTGATTTTTATGATGATTATAAATGTATAAGATAGTTTTTTTTTAAAAACTACATGAACCTACCTACCTACATGTACCCACCTTGAAAAATATGGGTGGAGTGACTCAACAAACAAAATTTTTTTTAATTATGGCCCAGATAATAATTTCTGTAAATGTGCAACAAAAAAATTTTCACATTGCAAAGGAATTGATTAAACAATATGTTTCTATGTTAAAATTATTGAGGTGAAGTGTCTTATTTTTACATCTTATGGATGTTTGATAATAATGGAAAGCTAGAATAAGACTTTTTTCCCCCGTTGTATTATTTCCTCTCTTTCAAATGTGTATTATTATTTTTCAGTGAAAGCAATGAACACACATATTTGGTCATTTATAAACTTTGTGATAACGGTGGTTGGAGCTTTTGCATTTGGATACAAAGCCACAGAGTATACCTTCAGTGGAGGAAATGCATTTATAGCAGTAAGAAATACTTAAATTACAAATAATTCAACTTGCCATTTATATCTTATATTTAAGTTCTTACTCATCATCTTCTTGTAGAATAGTTTCGTCAAATTATTTTGTTACAGTCTTTCTAGACATTAAATTACCTGGTACTGGTATATTTCTTTTTTTCAAGTCGTTGAATAAAACAATTGATAATTTTTTTTTTTAATTTTACAATTTTATGAATTGTAAACTAATCTAAGTACAATTTTCCTCATTTCAGCAAATGGTAACTGGACTCATATTTGCAACAATAGTGTTTTTTGCTGATCTTTACTTTATGGTTAAACAAATATCATGACAAAGGGCCAATATATGTTACTCACATATATATACATAAAATATTTAATTTAGAAGTAAAAATGACAGCAATTTTTATTATAAAATGCAACACAATATAATATAGTATTATTCAGATTATATATTTATAAACATTCAAAAGGAAAAAACAGCAATTTTTGTTTTAAAATATTATTCTATTACATGTATATATGTTGTGTATATGTCGACTTAATAAAGGATCACAATAGAAAACAATTCCAGTAAGTTCCTTGAATTTGTTTTGTTCACATCTTATGGATTTTAGTTTGTTGTTGTTGTTATAACATTTGTTGAGTTATTACAGAGACAAGATGGATGTGTTTACAAAAAAAAAATCATGTTTGGCAAGTGCGAAAAAAGATTTTTCACTAGAGTTTCATCAAATAAAGTAACTGATCTAATGACAATGAACCTTAGAAGAATTATAATGTTAGTCATTGAACTGATGTTACAAGGTGTTGTCTTTCTGATTAACAATAAGAGGAAGAAGGTGGATAAAGTGGCAGAAAAGGTGTTGGAGGAAGAAGTTAGGAAAATGGAGGAACAAAAAAGGGAGGAACAAGAAATGATTGAGAAATATAAGGGCCCCTGGTGTGACAATATTAAACAGGGTATAACTTTAAATTTAGAATGTCTGTACTGATACTAGTAGTGAAAGCAATGGTCGTCTAGTCAGGGGCAAACTTAATACTATATTCAATCTCTATCATACCTCATTATCTTTAGAGGTAATTTACTTCACTAGAGGGGACCAGTGTACCAAATTTAATGTCTGTCAAGCAAAGAGTGTTCAAGATGTGTGTGGTCATTATATTGCCAAGTCCAATTTTATCCTTGACCTTTAATCTTGTCATTTCAAAATCAATAGGGGGTCATCTAAACCTTAAGAGGAACCAATGTACCAGTTTCTAAAAATATTGAACGAACATTTTCCTCCATCTAGAGTAGTTTGACATGAGACCTTGTGACCTCAAAATTTACAGTGGTTGCCTACTCCTCAGTAGGAACCAGTGTACCAAGTTTTTATGTTAAAAGGTCAATATCTTCCGCTATCCAGTTAACTTTGACCTTGTGACCTCAAATTTAAAAAAAACTTTAAGGGTCATCTACTCCTTAAATGGAACCAGTGTACCTCAAAATCAATACTCCTTAAAGTGAACCTAGTTTGATGTCTGTCAAGCAAATGGTTCTCAAGATATTGAATAATAAGACAATATCTTCCTATGTTGAGTAGTATGACAGTGTGACTTCAAAATCAAAAAAAGGTCATCTACTTTTTAGGGGGGTACCATTGTACCAAATTTGATGACTCAAGCAAAGGGTTCTCAAGATACTGAGTGGACAACGCTTGGTCAACCAACATACCGACCGATTTTTGCAAAGCAAAATGCCCCCCCCCCCTTTTTTTCAAAGGGGGGGGGCATATAAAGAGAAGGAAGGAGAGTCCGTGTAAGAGAAAAAGAGGCAGTTAGGGGGGGGGGGGGGGAGTGTTAATCCCTGTTATCCAGCTGATACGTTATCTGTCTCTGTCTAGCAACATAGTATCATTTTCCGCATCTTTTTAGCACACCTGAGCAAATTCTAAAGTTAATTTTTGGATCAAAGTTTGTCTTCTATCTGTCCATCCGTCTGTCTGATAAACAATATGCTATTACAGATGTTATTATGATATGGGCAGAATTTGTGTTTTGAATTTTGCTGTTGTTGGCAACTGATGTACGTTGTTGGCTTTCCTTTGGCAAAAGAGCCACACTGCTTGTGCAACCAACTTTTTCAGGGGTTTAATGTGGTAAAGATGATATTCTAATTCCTTTGAAATGACCCCAACATATATTTTAATTTGCGGTGGAGGATTTCCAGCGTGATCTTTTTTAAAAACTTCAAGTGTGCCCTTAATGGCACTACGTGACATGTGATGACAGATTTCAAGCATTCGTCTTACATCAGGCATGCGATCAACTGGCTTTAAATGCGAGGCATGATCTTTCAATTTCTCGAAAAGTTCATCAGAAAATGTATTAAGTACAAATTTTCCATGAGCATTCACATCTGCATTAGCACCTTGGCGTAGAAAAAACTTTAGGATATCTAAATCCACTCCTATCTGAACACTGGTCTTTGCAAACTGGTGAAGAACTGTGCCCATTACTGAATTTCGTTGTGTAATTCGTCCAATTTTATTTATATTAGCATCACTGTGGCACAATATTTCGGCATATTCTATAACAAATTTAGCTGCCAAGGCCTTCGAGTCCAGAGTTCCAGCATAAGACTCGACAGTGTCAAGGAGGCAGTGTATCGCACTCGAATAAGCGCTTCTACCTACAATAGATTTTACACTTCTTTTGATTTGTAGTCTTTCGTACTGAACCTCATCAAAGTTTGGATCCGCTCCTGACTTAAGCAGCATCTGGACGCATTTCAGATAGTACTGTGTCCATGTGTAATTGTCAAGACAGAGCGAATTCTTAATCAAAGAGTATAGTGGGTATGTGTTAGTCGGATCTTTTGACTTGACGTCGTGTTTATGTTTTAAAAGAACTTCTGTCACCCTTGGTATTCTTGCATACCCCTCTCTTCCAAATGTCTGTACTGAAGAAAAAGAATACAGTGTGTGGTAAAAATTTACCCCGTTGAATAGCTTTTTAACATCGATACCACTTTCTAGCAACAGGTCAAGACACTCTGGTTGTGCATGATGGACTGCAATGTCGATTGCTTCCATAATTTCCTGTTTCTGTGGTTTTTCTTTGAGCAATACTCTGACAGCCTCCTCGGAGTTTGCAAGCGTTGCCAAAGCAATATATCCACTTTTAGCCCGCTCTGGATGTGCCTTTATGACACACAGCGTGAGTATCAGGTAGATGCATTTCGAATTACCAGCTTTTGCTGCAATATCCAAAGGAGTCTCCTAAAATTTTGAAGTAAAAATGGTTAAATCTACGGACATTAAATAATAGTTAGTTCGTTATGATGGTTCTCTGCTACAGTTTATTTGTTTGTATATTCTTCCAGTATCTCTGTACATCTTTTTAAATAATAACAAGAGATGTCGAGTGAATAGCCTCGTGATGAGCATTAAACATCCTCGAAGGATCCACATGTGAAATTATTTTATGCATAGACTTCGTAAAAAAATGCTGAATTGATTTGTGTCATAGGATCGTTTAAAAAAACAAATCAATTGTAAACTTTTTTAAGCCTCAGACTTAAGGTTCATTGACCCTCTCATAAGAGAAATAACTCTAACTTGAATAGCCAACTTAAAATGGCCATTTCTGTCAATTTTGCCCCGCAAGGTATGTTGAAATTGTTTGCATTGTAACTATATTTGATTTCTTTTGGAAAATCATTAGCATTCAAGCAAAATTTTATATGAGTGAACAATTTGGTAATGAACCTTGAAATGTAAATACTTGAATACGTGTAAAACACACAGTCCAGGCCATTTTTAATAAAAAATGTTTGGTTGTCCTCTCCCGACCGACTGGCTAAAAATGGCTCGACTCAAAACTTTTTTTAATCTCCAGGAAACAATTATTTTTTTAAATGTTTTCCGGAAAATAGATAATGAAAATTCAGCATTGATGTTGAAATTTTCTGGGGAAAATATTTCCCACATGCCTACCGATACAATTTTTCATCCTGACTAGGGAGAGAGCAAACAAACATTATTTTAAAGTGGCCCCATGAAAAAAAAATCGCCAATATTTTACTGTGCAAGGTCAATTTAACTAAGCAATACTTGCAAATACATGTACGCTCTCTTGATGGAATAGTTATTAATTACAGGTGTAATGTAATTGAGGAACATATTTTTTTAATTTTGTGTCGGTACGAGTATTGACCTCTTAATCTAGCATTATAAATTCATTACCCTTTTTTGTTGAAGTAAATTGCATTCAGACTTCAGACTTGGGTAGATTAAGTTATTCATGGGTCTGTTGTCACTTAGTCGGTGATTCAGTAGGATATTTAGCACGGTACTGAGACCCAGTTTTGCGGCTAAATGGCTATAGGGGTTGATATCTGGCTGATGAGGCTCTATGAAGTAGCCATTGGATAGTAAACACTCCACAGCTTGCGGACTGTTCTTTAAAATGCAAAGATGCATCAAGTCATTGCCGCTTTCGTCCACCCATTTGATCACGTCACTCTTTACACTACAGGACAATATGGCCTTGAACTTGTAATCTTCGCTTTTCTGTTTCATTTCGTCCAAAAATCGTTTCACCATTTCTTCTGTCTCCATCTCCTGAAAACACAATCATAAATTTACTTTGAGGATTCAAAACGATACTTAGTTCATGTGTACTTATTTAACCCTCTCAATAACCCTCACAGTGGTTTGGTCCTAAATGTTAAATAGGCCTATATGAATTAACAAATTCGTCATTATATGCACATCTACGTGAACCACCCACTGTGTAACCATGGAATTTATGAAGAATGCAAACATACCGTTTCACTTTTATTGGAGGCCATCTTTGCGTTGCAATTCAAAAACCTACTTTATTCTAAGATTTAAAAAGCAATTTAGGTCGCCAGCAACTATTTTATAAACTTACTTAGCACCAAACATAATGAAAACATTATTATTGATTAAACAGTCAATGACCCACATTGACTCAGTCATTAATGAATTGCAATATTTAAAGAACACTTTTCAATAGGATTTGCTAAAACGCAGAGCGTGGTAGACGGAATGGAAAAAGGATATATATATATATATATATATATATATATATATATATATATATATATATATATATATATATATATATATATAGATATAGATAGATAGATAGATAGATATAGTCGGATTGCCTAACATCTTTAAGACTACAACAGCTGAGTTATACATACCCCCGGTATTATTGATGATGATATATTTACTGACTAATTGCAAACGTTATTTTACGAATAAACTTTAAAAATGAATTGCTTTTTTTGACATATTTCATTAAGGGTTTGGGGAGGTTCAGCCAAATTTGACATTATAGTTTTGACATTAAAAAGTACAGCTTTCATAAACGTACAAGTATCGAAATTGATTAAAAAGAAAATCTTATTCATAATTTTGTTAAAACATGTATATGGAATCTTTTTCTAGAACATTATTATTGATTAAACAGTCAATGACCCACATTGACTCAGTCATTAATGAATTGCAATATTTAAAGAACACTTTTCAATAGGATTTGCTAAAACGCAGAGCGTGGTAGACGGAATGGAAAAAGGATATATATATATATATATATATATATATATATATATATATATATATATATATATATATATATATATATATATAGATATAGATAGATAGATAGATAGATATAGTCGGATTGCCTAACATCTTTAAGACTACAACAGCTGAGTTATACATACCCCCGGTATTATTGATGATGATATATTTACTGACTAATTGCAAACGTTATTTTACGAATAAACTTTAAAAATGAATTGCTTTTTTTGACATATTTCATTAAGGGTTTGGGGAGGTTCAGCCAAATTTGACATTATAGTTTTGACATTAAAAAGTACAGCTTTCATAAACGTACAAGTATCGAAATTGATTAAAAAGAAAATCTTATTCATAATTTTGTTAAAACATGTATATGGAATCTTTTTCTAGAAAATAAACGACACACTAGTATTTCAATTGTCAAAAGGGGGCCAATTCTAGCAGTATACGTCAAACTTTAAAAACGTTTTCTTCATATACCTATGAAATACATACAGCACTTTGATAAATGGATTAAGTGTATATATATATATAGGATACGGTACAAATAACATCTTGCGGAAAAGTACTCACATAAACACGCAGGTCTCTAGAAATTAAAACGCTTAATGAGGAAAGTAATACACAAATAAAATATATTAATTTTATCAAACATATACATGCATGTATGGCTTTTGAAAAAGTTAAACACGACACATTTCATTTTATAGCTCACTGATCAAATTAACTGTCGCCGTTAACTTCCTTTTTTTTTTTTTACATTTGAACTAATGGGCCAATTTCAACCAGACTAATGAATAAAATCACAAGGAACATGTCTATGTAGTATTGTTTTCTTTTTGCATCTGCAACAACATTTAATTAAGGATAAATAACACAAACAAACTTTTTTTTCAGAAATCAGCAATAATTCTTATAGATTTATGTTCGTATAGTTATTTGAACAATGTTATCCAGAGTAAATGTAGAAAGAAGATAGACGAACAAGCCAGGAAAAATGCCTATGGTTTGACAAATAAGATAGTTGAAAATTGAATCTCAATTATATCACAACTTTCTTCGGTATTTCAGTTAAATACGATATATATACGATACAAAATCGTATCTTTCTGAGAAATATATATGCAGTTATTCAATGGTCATATCACAAACAAGATTTAAATGCCGCTACTTGTAATGAGCTGTGTAGTGTAGATGTAAGCTTATCAGCATTCAAAAGAGAAAACCGATACTCAGGATTTTTATTGTCTGGGTTCAAATCCCAAAAAATCCTTAACTTTTTTTTAAACATAGAATAATTTTTGCTGAGAGATTTTTTCTGAGGTAAAGTTTTGTTTGTCAAAATTTCATATTTTTCAATAATCAGAACTTTGGCCTAAATACTTAGTTCACAAATTTAATTTGATATTATATATTTGAAGCTATAGGCATTTTGCACGACTTATATGTCTATCTTCTTTTTAAGATTTTATAAAAATATCATAAAATGTGTGCAAATATTTGTATAGAGTTATACAGAAAATGGCACGAAGTCGCATATTTAAACACCAAAGAATACTTAAAAATTTCTTCATATTCTAGGAAATTATTATTTATGTCATTTTTATTCAAAATCAGTCAATACCAATCCATGCATCGATTTTTTGTTTGTTTTTATTTATCCTATAAGCTAAATTCGTCTATACAAGAGACTGTTGCCATTATTGCATGACTATTAGTCTGTGCGAAAAGTAGTTCCGCTGTTCATCATTTTCTGAGACGTTTATGGTGAGATGAAAAAGTGTCACTCGAAAAAGCTAAGAGCCTTGTAACTCGATCCATCCTATGCAGATTCTTATATATGAGAGAGAGAGAGAGTATTCGCTTTTGGAAGACTTTGAATACACTGAATAATTTATTGTATTAAGCAGTGTAAATTATGAAGAAAAAAAAAGTTGTGTTAGTTCGGGTGTTTGCAACATAAATCATTGAACAAAGACAGAGTCTATAGTTTAGCAAATTTTGCTATAAAAACTTTACTCTGTAAAAATGTCTATGGGCAACTTGTAATAACGAGACTTTTTTTTCTATCAATTTGCACATGCATCCGATGCCGGGGAACCACTCTACAAAGTTTATCAAGAGGTTGTCAGTAACACCAGGAAACTAACACCGCACAATACTTGGATTCCTTTGAGAGATTTAATTTAAGAAGAAACTGCATGATAAAGGTGTGTTTTCAGCACAGAAAAGTTAAAGGGTCTGTGTGCGTTATTTAAATACAATTGTATTTTTATCGGAATACGCACATTTTTATCGTTGGCAAAATTGACATCATAACCTTTGAAAATAGGAATAATTTGTTTTGATAAAAGGTGTAATCTCTAGCCTTTTATAAATTTCAATAAATTACTTTTTGTTAGCATTTTCGTTTTTTTTATTCCCCTCAATGTACACGGAAGGAGCATACAAAGTTTGTCACATTGTACATAATATATATACATCGTCCGTCCAACCTTTGACTTTGCAATTTATCCTCCTTTACTATCGATGTCCATGGCCGTAGAAACCGCGGGGGGGGGGGGGGGGGCGTCGTCGTCGTGCACCCCTGAATAATTTTGTTGATATATAGAATACTATAGAAAACATAGCTATATGCTTGTGCCCCCTAGAATAACGTCTGATGACGTTTTTTTGTGTGTGTTTGTTTGTAGAGGAATTTTTGGTAGTTGATATAGTGTCCCCCTCCCCAATTGTATAAATATATGGTTGTAAACCAATCCAACCCCCACCCCCTCCCCCGTGAAATTGCTTCATACAGGCCTGATGTCTCATTAAATCCTTTAGACTTCCGCGCAGCCAAACTTTTATTGATGTGAGATCCATTTCACAACATCATACATAAACACATTTTGGAAAGCTTTTTAGCCTTGTCAGATTTGTCAACAATTGTCTTCCCGGGACCCCGCGCGGTCTTTTGTTTATTATTATAGTATGGTGACATGTAATGTATTCTTTATGCCAGATTCTTTATGACTTTCGTAGTCCCTCACTCCTACAAGAGCCTCGATTAACGTCCTCCTTATAAACCTCGGGTACGCAGCGCAAAGTCAAAAGTATCTCGCCGTGAACCTCTAGCAATCTAGGGTACATAGTCATTTTGATAGGCCCCTCTCTCTCTCTCCCTTGAGGTTCAAAATTTTGTGAGAATATTTCATCTATTTTAGATTTTTTTTTTACCTTTTCTTTCCCATTACGTCACGCATTTATATCATTTCTTTACACTATATATTGAAAGAAATTCATTTGCATGGCTTCTTACATAGATACACATATGAATACCGCCAGTTTTACTTTATCTAGGCTAAATCCTGTGACATATTGACCATTAACTTAATTTCCTTTTTCATTTAGCAAGGGGAAAATCATTCATGCCCAATAAGAGATTTCAAACCCTGTACAAAGTTTGTTATTTTTTTTATGTCCATAATTTACACAATCAACTGCAATATTCGTTATCTCAGTTCAGCAAAATTTCCTAAAATATATACAAATTACATGTTATTTATTTTCTTAGATAATTTACCTTGTCGTGTTATATTGTATGAAACCTCTCTCTTCAAAATACCAAAGATTAAAATTGATTTTGGAGGTATACTAGTATTTTATTACTAAAACACGCAACCCAACAACATAATCCCAGAGGAATATAAATCATCGTGTTAGGGTAACAAGTTAATACGACTAACTGGATTAAAAGCTTACCGTGTCTCACTAATGAATGATTTTTGATGAATTGCTATTTTTAAGGAAATGGGAGCTGCATTTTTTTTCAATCACCTTGAAAAAATTAATACTGTCTAAGATACTAGTATACCCTGAAGGTGCAGGATTAAAATCCACTCTACATAAGTACTGTGTTGAGTGGATAGTTATCTAACCTTAAAAAAAATACATACACATATATGAAATATCAACAATGCAATGTTTAAATAAGATTGTCGCAGGAATCATTCATGTTATTTCTGCGTAACCCTGGTATCCATGGAATTTCGTGGTGTACCACGACCCTCAAACTGTTGATTTTCTTCGCCGCCCCTGAGCATGTATTTTACAAACCATCTAGATATAAACAGATAGCATTGTTTGTTACATGCTTTAGAGATTATCAACAGTATAGCATACGATCCAGTTTATCTTTTTGTCGCTGTGTAGAAATTTTGGAGTCTTATTTGCAGGCCCGTAGAACGCGGGGAAG